GGACGGATACTGGCTGACTGGGTAAATACACGTACAGCACGTACAGCACGTACAGTACAGGGCATTGATTCCCAGGCCATCCGTGCCGGCCGCCATCATCCTGGACGTTTCCGTTGAATCATGAAGCTGGATGGGGGATAACCGGGGCCGGGGCCAAAGTCAAAGGCGCCTTTTCTTTCCCCTTTTCTCCCTCTCTCTCCTCTCACTCCTCTCACCCCGTCGCAGCCGAAGCTGCCGCTTCCATTTCCCTCCTCAGTGATAAGGTGCGGTGTGAGCGAGCACCACTAAGCACCACCAAGCACCACAAGCAGGGAGGGGTCGCAAACGAACCATTTTCCCCTCCTCCCCCGCGCAGCGCCGGCAAAGTCGCGTGCCTGCGGAGCCGGCCAGTGCATGAATGGCTGGTACTTGGTACGGCTTGGTCGTCGACTCTTGAGCCCATTGGCCTGGGTAAGCTCGGGGGGGCGTTTTTGGCATCGGGATTGCTGTGCGTATGCCTAAAAACCTGAAATGCCGGCGCCCCAGGCTCCCCAGTGTAGGGCAAGGGAGGGAAAGGGATGGAGGGAGGGGAAGGAGGGGAGGAAGGGGCGCGCAGCGAGGCCTCCGTTTCTCACCCACCCGTCACCGCCGCCGTTGTCGTCGTCACATCGCGCGGTGCGCCAAAAGCATGGAGCCCACCCCCATCGGCCATATCCCGTGTGCGTGTCTGTCTCTCCTTTTTTTCTCTCCGGGATACAGATGTGCATCTACCCTACCTACCTAATCTATTACTGTCCAACGTTTCTTATACTTGGCCATGCTGCTATATAAAGCACCGTATGTATACCATAGCACCGTGGCAGAGGACCAATCATAAATGCCCTTTGGTGCGTCTTCACATGCCTCTGGTGATGCCTCTGGTATCCCGTGGCTGCGCCGCTGCTACCCTGTAGCGGACTGAGTTTCCCCAACTGCCGCCAACCCCTCTGGTTTGCACACTGGAGCATGCCAATGGCGAGATATGACAGGTGCAGTGCTTGACACAACTCGCTCGGATGCCCGCGACTCCGGCGTGCCATCAGCCAGGTGCATGGCCCCGGCAGAAACAAGAGGGCCTGGGTAGCTTCGGCTCGCGTGGCTTGCTGTCACTCCAGGTCTCCGTGTCTCCATGTGCATGTACGGGCGCGGCAGGACCAAACAGGCTCTCCGCGCGCACATGGGGCCACATGGGGCTTCAATTGAGCCTCTGGCGACGACGAGGCGGCGATACGAGGCGCGCCTGCATGCGCCGGTACCGCGACCGTTTGCACCAAGCACTGCTACCATGGCCACGTCTCATCAAGCCGCCTCTGCCGTGACGGACTGCCACGGACTGCCCTGCTGGGCTCGTGGGCTCTCCGGAGGCAGCGCGTGCGGGGTCTGACGTTTTGCTCGTCGTCTGATGAGGGCGCGGCGAGTGCACTCAAATCTCCGAAACCGGCCAAGCGTTTGTATCCAACGAACAAGGGACCAAAGGTTAACTCGCGGCTGCGGTATGTATCATGTGTGCCTATCATGGCCTCGCCAAGGTGTCCGGACAGGACACGAGAGCGGCGCACAAGTCCCCTCGCAAAGTCCCCTCGCAAAGTCCCCCGTCGCAAAGTCCCCCTCGCAAAGTCCCCCCTCGCAAAGTACTGCAACATGTCATTGCGGCCCGAGTCCCACGCGAACCGGCTTCCATGGCCTGTGCCAGAGCTGAAATCTGCGCCCATGCGAGAGGACCCCTGTTCGCTCCCTGGCACTACTGTAGGCGCCAAGGCTTCTGGAAAAAAAAAGGTTGACGGTGCTTGGGGGGACACAGAGACGAGTGAACCGCGGCTATTTCGACGGACACTGACTGGGCAGGAGACATCGGTGCGACAAGAGTAATGCACAAAGAGAGCTATATGCTGTATGTATGCCGATTAGGGGGCCCGTCGAGAGGCGCCGCTGCCGTCGTCGGCGGGCAGCTTGATGGGTCCGAGCCCGCGACAAGCCCCGTGCCGCAAGGTGCCGTCCAGGGAGCGACATCGTATTTGATAAAGCGCTGCTCCGTGCGAGCCGCATCTCGGCAGCGGCCGGCGGTGCTGCAGGTCGGCAAGGCACAGTGCGCAGTGTATCGGGGCGGCGTCTCGCGAACTGTGAGCAAGAGGGGACATTGCTGTAGCCAGACAGTGCGAGCAACCCGAGGGCGGGGTCCGGTCGCCCGCTCTCCTGACTCGGCTCAAGGGCGGGCTCCATCTATCGCTCGATGATGAGGAGAGAAGGGCCTCGATGGATGGCGAATATATCCGTCTCCACGACAAGGCCTTGACAAGGATCGGCACGTTTCTTGGCAGCAGCATCACTTTGTGCTGGTGCGGGTGGGAGATGGGAGGTGGGAAGGCGGTGCTTGGATTGGGGAAACACAACCTCCATGCACCACTCCACCACTCTGCATTCTGCACATGCACCGACAAGAGTGTCCGTCAGCAACGAGGCGGGCAGCCCGAAGGGGCATGGGCCGGTGGACGAGCATCCCTGGAACCACGCGCCGATCTGGATAAAAAGACTGGCCACGAGGGAGGCCCGCTTTGCCATGCCCTGGGTCCTGTCGTGCAACTGTACCGAGCTCCAGCTATTTGCACTGTAATGTGAGAAAGCTGCTCTCTCCGGTCTCTTGGGAACTCCATTGGCATGCGTCTACTCCGTAGAGTAAGTACTTGGCGTCTCCCCACAATGCCCACTGCCGCAGCTGATAGTTGATAGATGGCATCTTGGAATACCTAGAAGACCGAAGCATCGGATCCCCTGGCGGTGGCGTGCCGTCCGTTTACCGCTACTTTGCACTCTCGAGCACCCGGATAGCCACCTTTGCCGAGGCCTTGGTCACGTTCATCAAGTACATAACGTACATAACGTACATAACTGGACTTTTGTATTCGTGGATGCACGCAGCGCCATGCCATGCCTCCTCCCCTCCTGGCTTGTCTGGCGCTGCGGGGGGGTTCGTGCGGGCGCGACCTCTTCTTTTTCGAATACAAGCGCGTGCTCCACGCCAAGCAGCTGTCCAACTGTATTTCGGTGCTCACAGGCTAAATAATGACACATGGCACATGCGGGGAGCAACTGAAATGAACAGCCAGTCTTCGTCGTTCATCCCGACTGACGCGTCTCTCGGATGCGGCGGGCGGGCAACGCGATGCCAACGGGAAGAAGTGTTTCGACTTTGGCAATCGAGTGCAGCCAACAGAGTAGCAAGTCGGTGGACCGCCAGCCCTGCCCAGGCCTCATCGTTGACAGCATCGCCTCTCTTTCTGACCTTGGCTCACCTTGGGGCTTACGGTGCTGCACCTGCCAGGCAGTCCGCGGGTACTTTACACGTTTCTTCCACGCGTTGCGCCCTAATCCGTGCGCGCCAACTGGCAGCCAACTCCCACACCGACCGGCCTGCCCCAACGGCAGCCCTGCCGAGGCCATGTGGTGTCTTGTTTCTACATATCCAGCCACCATCCCATCTGCAGCCAGCTGCATCCCGCGTCGTCAGCAGCGAGGCAGCTCATCGCCGCGGGCAAGCTTCTGGCCGAGCGGGAGACATGCACGCCCTGTCCAAGCACAGCCGAAACCAGCGGGAGGAGACCCATGGGGCAGGGCAACTGTTTGAGGTCCCTTGTTGGCCTCATGGCAGCCTTGCTGCAGCCCGTCACCGTCTTTCCGTGGCTTTGCCTAGCTGGGTACTCCGCGCCTAGACCGTGAGGGATGACTGCCTCCGCCGAGGCGAGAGCAAGAATTTGATGTGGCCTCGTGCCGTGGTTCGTCATGCAGAGGCGAGCAACATGAGTCGCCAGGTGCTCGTTTCCAATGGGAGGTTGGTGTTTGGTGTGCCCAACTGCCACCCCCACTGTGACGTCTGCCATTCTACAGCAATACGGGGTCAGCTTTCTTCAAGTGCATGCGTAAAACGTGGTCTCGTCTCCTCTTCTCCGCCGTGCAATCACCAACCCGAGGCAGTTGGGTCGAGGTCAGGCTGACCAACGCCGAGTGGGGGTGTTTGCTGCCGACGGTGTGGTCATGACAGGTCATCAAGGACCCTTCGAGCTTTGGCAACTAGTATTAGCAATCAATGACCGCTAGACAAGCAGACAAGACACCAGTTTATTCCCGGACCCTCTCCCTCTCGCTCGCGCAGTCGAATCGCATCCCCCGTTCGTCGACCGGATCCCGCAGGAAGGACATGCAGCAGCACGTGTGGTAGAGCGCCTCGACGCAGGTGAATCTAGCTACCTGTGTGCTTCGTACAAGCCTTCGCCTTCCTCACCCCACCTCCCCAAAGCGGCACTTGCAATTGCACAGTACCCGGTGTATGTTAGCAGGTGGGTGGCCGCGCCGCTTGATGCCCTATCTATCACTCGTCTGGGTTGCCAAGGGATCCTCGGCCATGCCATCGACTGGCACCTTCTGCCGCTGGGAAAAGTGGCGCCCATACCGTGCCTGGTACGCATATGCACTGTAGCAGATACATGGGCCGCCCTGGGAATCCGCTGCCACAAAAAGAAGTGGAGAAAGGTGCTGCAACCACCCCCGTTTCTGTTATACCACCCCACCCAACCACCGTCACGTATACTGTACGAGGTACACACACACCTACCTGGTACTTGCAGCCGGCGCAGCTCTTCCTCTCGTGGCCCCTCCCCCGGCCCTGGTCACCCCCACCAACCCACCCTTGGTTTTTAATGGACTTGTAGTTCTGCAGCACTGTATTCCCGTCAAGTCAACCCGGCCTGGTCCCTGTCTTCGTCTTCTGGGCTGCCCACCCTCTCCTGGAGCACGCCCCAAGCGCGCCCCCTCCTGCGGTGCGCATTGTACTTGTACTGAACCAGGCCCTCCCTCCCCTTCTCCCCCAAGTCTGATGGTCGTCCCACGTCTGCTCGCTCGCATTCGTTCAGTCGCCTTTTATTTCAACCTTGCCGTCTCCTCTCACCACCGAGCCTTGGGCCTCCTTCCTCCCCCTTCCGTCCCGTCAGATGGCCGCCCTCTCGCACCCCCTCACGACTGTCGCCGAGAACCCGCCTCCGCAAGACAAGACGGAGCCGCTGCCCGGCCGCAAGCACAGCCTGCCGACGCCTCGCTCCTCCATCTCTGACCGCTCGGCAGACCAGCCGCGTCACGGGAGCACCTCGTCCACCGGCTCTGCCTCGACCAAGTCGCAGCGTTCCTCAAACAGCCTCTTCAACCGCGCCCTGGACAGGACGCAGAGCGCCATCGCCAGCCTTTCCGATCCCGTCATCCGGCCCCGCCAGTCCACCTCTGCGCTGGCCCGTCTGTCCCTTGCTCCCGCAACGCCGCCAAGCTCGGAGCCTCCGAGCCCCGAGAAGACGACAATCTTCAAAGTCTCGTCAACCCCCTCCAACGAGCCTGGCTCGAGGGCCGACGCCAGGCAGCCCGTCGACTCTGCCCTGGCCAAGGACTCGCCAGCCCGACCCCCCGCAGAGCCCCAAGCTCGCCCCCCCGCCCCAACCAGGCTTCCCGTCTCCGACAGCAAGATGCATCAGACATCGTCGCGTCTGCTGCGCATGACAGACGATGATCGGCCATTCACCAGGGTACGTTTCCGGGGAGGGGGGGGGGCACGTGTAGCGTCTGGCCCGAGCAAGCCGGACGCTTGTGGTGGCGACGGCCAGCCTGCCCTGGCTAGCCCTTGATTTTGGCACACGGCCAGGCTTGTTTCTTTTTCCCCATTCGCTGACAATTCCGCCAACAGGACTTCAAGGACCTCTTCGCCACCTTGGTTGTTAGTCTCTTGCCGCTCTCGGCTCATAGAGTCCGGTTATCCAAAGTCGAGTACACCTTTCTCTCCGAGGATGCTATCAACAATCTCGGGTCCCTCAAGTTCTCCCAGTCCAACCGCATGCCGGATCCAAAGGACTCCTCGCGGATCGTGACAACCACCACGACCACGACCTTTTCCATGGCCAAGGACATGGCCAGGTCCATTTGCCAGCGTTTCGTCGAGGCTCGCTTCGTTGAATCCGCCGATGGAAAGTACCAGCAAGTGTACAATATGAAGGGTTCCGTGTGGCAACTTACTCCCAAAGGAGTCACCGTGCTTGATAGGTTCTGTGCACGGAATGGCATCCAACAGAAGCAAGTTGCCGAGCTGTCGAGCATGAATGCGGCCCAGCTCGTCATCCTGGAGCGGGACCAGCTTTCGGACAAGCTCCTCAATGACCTGGGTACCATCGAGGTCATCTTCCGCAGGTTCGTTGGCACCGAGACCCGCAACGTCAAGCCAACGGCCACGGCGGCCGACTCGGACTCGTTGCATGATTACAAGGACGGTCTCACTGGTGTCAAGATGGCTGCGGAGCGCAAGATCAACGGCAGGATATATCGCGACACCTTTACCGGCAGAGCGGCGACGGATTGGCTCATGGACTGTTCCACCATTGTCGACAGGCGCGAGACCGTCGAGATTGCGACTCTGTTCGTCGAGTATGGCCTTGTCGAGGCCGTGACTCCAGACAGGGCCTTCATGGCCCAAAACACGGGCTACAACATTTTCCAGCCGACCAAGCATGCCATCTACCAGCTCAGCCAGCGAGGCAAGGACCTCATCAACGGCAACGGCTCGAGGGGTCGGGCGTCGGAGAGCGAAGGCGGCACAGGATCGCAACGAAATGGCATCTCTCGCGACTCCAACACACAACGACTGGAAAAGATTCTCACCGACCCTGCCCTCCGCCTCCTATTCCGAGAGAACCTCCGGGAAACGCATTGCGAGGAAAACCTGTCCTTTTACCAGGATGTGGCCGAGTTTGTCCGCGGCTGCAAGACGGCCATTCGACAAGCCCAGAAGTCGCCGACAGCCACATCGATGGACACCATCAAGGAGATAATGGCTCAGGCCTACGGGATATACAACGCCTTTCTGGCTCCCGGCTCTCCCTGCGAGCTCAACATTGACCACCAACTGCGCAACAACCTGGCCACCCGGATGACCAAGGCAGTGGGCCAGGACAATTCGATGATTGAGACTTTGCAGGAGGTTGCGGCTCTTTTTGAGGATGCCCAGAACGCGGTATTTAAGCTGATGGCCAGCGTAAGTGGCTTGCCTGCCCGCCCCTGTCGCCGTCGATGCGGCCTGAAGTAGGCGACGACCACTAAGCTGATGAGAAACAACAGGACTCGGTACCCAAGTTTCTCCGAAACGCCAAGTATGAGCAGCAGCTTCGGAATCACGATCTCGACATCAACGGGCGCGTTCCTGAGCGAAGCCAAAGCCGCTCGAACCGCAAGTAATTCACGGCAGGGTCGCAGCGGCCCGTGGCGGATCGCCCAGCGGCAGCCCACGGCGAGCTATGCGGCGTGGGCGACACAATGTCCCCGCAATCCGCGTACGACTTTACCACATCACGACATGGCAGCATTTCGCTTTTCAACGGTCTACACGAGACGTTCTAGATTTCACTCCATTATACCTTTGCATTACTCGGTGTTGCTGCGTCCTTTACCGAGGCTTGCCCCTCGCTGTTTTTCACACTCTTCTTGATCCGACCGGATCGAGCCCGCCGGGACGTCTTTGGCCACCGGCGAGGCACTTTTCTTCCCTTTTGTTATTTCTTTTGCGATTGGCTGTCACGCCTATGCCGCCTTCTTTGGTCCCGTGATGCTTGGAAACGGCGACGAGGCGTTGGGGCAAATCGGATCATAGAGGGGGCCAAGGTCACCAGTCGACGGTAACAACAACAGAGACGGACGGTACGAGAGGGCGACGATGTGCATATCTGCGCCGCCGTGAGGTCAAGGTTCGGACGGACCATGGTCAATAGTCTGCATGAGACCGGCGAGGATTTGGAGCGGTCCGGAGGCACAGACGTCGAGAAGTCCCCCGGATGAGCTCTGTTCACATGGGAAAGAGGGGAGGGCCTCCAATCAACTGATTCTGTCCCCATGCCTGGCAGCAAGCCGGCTTCCCTTGTTGAAGTGGGCGATGAGACGGAAGGACGACGGCGACGATGCGAAGGGCTTGTATTGTTGTTTTTCAGCATGTCCACTAAAGCCTGGGCACGTGCGGATGAAGGAGGCGACCGGAGGTGCGGATTCCTGTAGGAGTAGAAAGGCAATGGAAAAAGGAGCGCAGCTCTAGCTCTAATACGAATCAGAGACACGGCTTCCCAGGTGTCGCCGAAAGAAACGTGCCGCTCAGTGCTGGCTAGCGTCCGCGACCAGGTCGAGCCGGGGGCCATTGTTTGGTTGGCGAGTGACGCCGGCGACGACGGCAGACCAACGCCGGCCGACTGGTGATCTGCGGAGGAGCTGGAATGCGGATTGTCCTGTTGGGCGTGGTTGTTGTTGTGTTGGTCTCCGACTGACTGCTTCTGGCGGTCCTGCCTGGATTGGCACGCAGCCACAAGCCACCCGCAGCTCGTCGGCCGGGTTTAGTGCCATCTGGTGTTTTGGGTCCGAGGCGAGACAGCGAGTGGGAGACGAAGATTTCCGAGAGACACGGAGTGTGTGCGTGGTGATGGCATTTCGAGCTTCCGCTTTGGGGAATTCTCGGTTGCGACCTGTTGTTTGTTTACTCACGCTCGTTTGCGGTATGGCCCCGACGATGACGATGGGATAGACGGACGAGACATGTGTTGTATTCTTCTTTGCGGGTGTTTGCGCCTGGCCCCGACGAGGAGGCATAAAAGCCGGCCTTTGCTCCCGTCCCAGAGGTGCGTCTCTTCTTCTCCATCACCCAGCATCCATTCGACAGTTTTCTCTCTCCGACAGTTCCTCGTTGCTCGTTCCCCTCGCCCACATTCGCTTTCACAGTCATTCGTTGATCCAAAAATCTCACAGCCAGCTTGTACTCTCGCTGCCTCTTTCATTCGCTCTTCTGTCGCGCCAAGCATCTTCTACAACACAAAAACAACCCTCTGGCTTCCCGGTATCCAACCCGCCGTCAACATGTACACCAAGACGATGCTCGTCGCCGCCCTCGCCGGTGTGGCGGCCGCCCACCACCCGGTCAAGCCGTCGCACACGGCGGGGCACCACGGCAACAACACCGTCGTCACCACCACCAAGGTCGTCAGCCAGTACACCACCTACTGCCCGGGCCCGACCACGCTGTCCTTTGCCGGCAAGAAGTATACCGTCACCAAGGCCACCACGCTGACCATTACCGACTGCCCTTGCACCGTGGTTGAGCCTTGCCACACCTGCGCTCACCCGCCGCCCACCAACCTGCCCAACCCGCCGGTCAAGCCTGGCCATCCCGGCTACCCTGCTCTGCCCGATCACCACGGAAAGCCCGGCTATCCTGCTCACCCTGGCTACCCGGGTAAGGGCCCCGAGGCTCCTGTTCACCCCGGCCACCGGGGGTACCCCGAATACCCCGGCAAGGGCCCCGAAGCTCCTGGTCACCCCAGCCATCCCGGCCACCCGGGCAAGGGGCCGGAGGCTCCTGGTCACCCCGGCTACCCGGAACACCCCGGTCACCCCAGCCATCCCGGCCACCCGGGCAAGGGCCCCGAGGCGCCTGGTCACCCCGGCCACCGGGGGTACCCCGAATACCCCGGCCAGGGCCCCGAGGCGCCTGGTCACCCCGACCACCCGGGACACCCCGGTCACCCCGGCAAGGGTCCCGAGGCTCCGGCTCAGCCTGGCTACCCCGGCAAGGGTCCCGAGGCTCCTACCCAGCCTGGCTACCCCGGCAAGGGCGCCGAGACCCCTGGCCAGAGCTCCGGGAAGCCCGGCAATGCCGTCGAGGTTGCCGGTGCCGAGAGCCGCCAGGTCGCCTACACCCTCGCCATGGTCGCTGCCGGTGTTGTCGGCTACCTGGCCCTATAAAGAGGGCAGGTGTGTGGTCTTTCGAGTTTCATTCCCGCTTGCCCGATTCGTTCCGAGGCAGGCCGGCCGTGCTTGGAGTTGTTTCTTCCGACAGGTATCCATGGTGTGGGAGTCGGGAAGATGGCTTTTGACGATGGGGTTGGGGATCTGGGAACTGTGTGTTCGTCTCTCTTCTGGGGCATGGTATACATAGACTGTTATTCTGAGGGGAAGGGACTGTCTTTCTGGTATCATAGGTCTTATTCTCGGGGTTAACGATAATTTGCGTATCTTCATAATCATGATCGTCGTGACTCATCATCAGGGTGAGGTGGTGAGTGAGTATTTGGGATATCTGCGACGAGCATCTGAATGGCTTCAAACGTGACAAACAAAGTGAGCAGGCGCCGTCTACTCGAGCTCTGCTGCTCCTTGTTCGCGCGTGTCTGCCGGAGCATGGATGGGACGCTGCTGGCTCTGAGACTGCTGCTGCTGCAGCTGGGCTTTAGCGACCAGATGCTCGACGAGGGTGGCGTGGGCCCTTTTGAGCGTCCTCTTGACAAAGGTGGCCATGACAAAGTTGCAGCGCAGGTCAACGTCCTCACGCAGGTAGAGCCCCGAGGCCGGCGCGCCGAGACCCAGCTCGACGGGCTCTCTCGGCTCGCCGGGCAGAGAACCCGCGACGGACCACGTCTCGCGAATGTCGACGCCGAGGGGGGCGTAGCAGTGCGTCTGCAGGCCGCGCTCGAGGTCGTGGAAGGCGCAGGTAAAGGAGACGTGGCTGCCGGGCCAGTGGGCGAGGCGGTCCGTGACGGAGAACCAGATGCAGCTTTGCTCCTCGGGCGACGCGTGCGGCGGCGGGTCGATGGGATGCCGGTCCGTTACGAGAGGGTTGAGGTCGATCATCTCGACGTGGTTGTGGAGGAAGCCGACGGCCGTCTCGCGCGTGATGCTGGGCGGCAGGGGGGTCAGCACGGTGAAGACGTTTCGGGTCGACATTGTGGGAGCTGGCGATGATGATGATGATGATAGCAACCACTTTGTGTGAACGGCGGCTTTTATCTCCCTGATGAAGCCCGACTTCGGGCGGAGGGGGGGGGGGGCCGGCTCGAGGGGCGTATGACCTGGACAAAACTTGCATGCAAGCTCACTCCTGTGCTGTTGACTGGAGGCCACGAGCCAATCGGCGGACCAAGATGAAGATGAAAAGGGGGATTTGCAGGCTACTGGCGACGATGATGCAAGGGATGATGACCGACCTGCTCGGTACTTGGTACTTTGGCCCCTGGTGTCCTACTGTAGAACACTGTAGAACGGTCATATGCCCCTGTAGCTTTCCTACAGAGGCATGCATCCACTGGAACTTTCGGGCTGCCCATGGCGGATGACCCGAATCTCCATTCTCTAAATGGTCTCACGCGCAGTCCTCCAAACACACGGACATGTCAGCTCTCTCCGCCGCTTAGTCCAACAACTCTGCCATCCATCAATCGTCTGTTGCGTGCGTGGCGCAAACTAAACGAATGGGTATAGGGTAACTCGGGACACGACGGACGGGCGCGGCTATTTTTAGCACTGCAGGATGCGTCCACATCTTCAACCTCAAATGCGACATACCCCAGCAGCAGGAGTGCCACCAACAGGCCCATCGCCCTCGACGAAAACGTCGTGCCCCAGGCCTTCTAGTAGGACAAGCCCATTATACCTTGCACAGGCAACCTGCTTCGTCTGCAAACGCCACGTCATGCATCCATGCCCTCGGCCTAAATCTCTCGGCACCACTTGGCCTGCACGGCGCCCAGCTTCACTGCCGACGGGATCTCCTCGAGCGCCACGTCCACCTTCCACATCTTGCCGTCGAGCCCCCCGTGGCCCGGCGCTCTGCTGCCCCCGATGCCCGCCGACACGAGCATCCCCAGCGAGATGAGCCGCTCCCACGCGATGCCCGCCACTCCGCGGCTCCAGATCCGCGCGCTGCCTCCCACCGCCAGCATCCCCGACGTTGCCGACTGCACCCGCTGCCTTCCCACCAACCCGCTGTACTCGTCGTAGGCCATAGCAAAGTTGACCGTGTCTGTGTGAGCCACAATGTCTAGCCTGGCCGCCGCGATGAGCATGCCCAGGTCCAGCTCCGACAGCGTCGGCAGAAGCTGCAGTCGAGAGTCGGGTGGCGCCAGCGACGTAAGCTCTGCACCAGCCGTCGGGCAGTTCAGCGTCGCGTCTCGCGCCGAAACCGACGACAGCGGCAAGATCCACTCCGTAAAGAATGCCGATGCTGATTTGGTCGTGAAGAAATGGTACTGCAGCAGGTTCTGGAACGCCCGCTGCTTGTAGAGCTCCTGCATTCACGCCAGTCAGCGTCACTTCAACCAGCCATCAGACATCCACCCTTTCTCCTCGTCTCTCGGCCGTGTGCGATTTACCTCAATTTTTCGAGTCCAGTACTTATGAAACTCCTCGTAGCCCTCCAGGCCTGCATCAATCCCCTCCTTGTCCACGTCCGTCCGGTCAATCATCAAGCCATGCCGGCACACTTGCCAGAAGGCAGGAAGCGACCTAGGCGGCGAAAGGTAAACGTATCGATGGCTGAAGCGACTCTTGACTCTCTTCTCGAGCATCTCCACCACGTCGAGCCGCGTCGTGCAGCCTAGCACTGCGATCGGCGCTTTGCGAGACTGCGCAATGTCAAATAGGTTGTACAGCAGTGTCTGCCGTGGATGAGACGCAAACATGTCAAACTCGTCAATGATGAAAACGACTGACTGCGAAGTCACGCCCTCGTCCGCTCCCGTGATTTCCGACGGGTGCGATAGCAATGCCAACAGCGATGCCATGGTGTCTGCGTAGTTTGTCTGGCCCCGTTGTCAGTCCCAGATGGTCCCACGTGAAACTTCGCCCGAGAGCTACTCACCCTGCTCACGAGTTCGTCCTCAACCTCCATCTCCTTACCGAGCTGACGCCATATCTCCTTAAGTGCAAGCTTGTCGTCGGTATGGATAAAGCCACTGAGTCTGACGACGTGAAACAGGTGCCGATGCTCTTGTGACAAGTCCAGTATAATGTTCTCCACCATCTGCGCCGTGTCAGTTCCGTCTGGGCACGATGACTGTGTCGCCATCTTACCGTCGTTTTGCCACAACCCCTGGGCCCTATCATCAACATGGAGTTGCCCTCTCCAGCAACGACCGTTTGCTCAACCAACTGACGCGCCTTGTCGTAGGATTCGTCGTGCCCAAACATGCGTATGCGCCGCCGCCCACAACACCTGTCCAGGAGAACCCGCTGAAACGAGCGTAGGTGCTGCTCCAAGTTGGGTATGTCGGGGATTTCCGCGGGGGCGGGGGCAGCGAGGGCATTTATCCTGCCAGCATCTGCAGGCCTGCTCGGGGTCTGGAGAACGTCTTCTTGGGCGCAAGATTTGCACAACCAATCACCCTCTGGAATCTCTGACACTTCATAGCACAGCTGGTGAGCGGCAAAGTCGCAATTGTCGCAGAGGATGATCTCGTTGGGCGCCTTGGAATCTGGCTTTGAACATATTGCACACCGAATCTCGTCATCATTCTCTTCTGCCTCCGCCTCCTTCTTCCTGGACGCCCGGGACTTTTTGGCGCTGGGAGTCTTGGGCAGGTCTTCGAAAAACACCTCGCCGCTAAGCCCTTTGTTAAAGGTGACGCTTTTCGGTGGGCGGCCCCTTTTTTTGGTAGGAGTCAAGATTCCCTTGGGGGTCATCCCAGTGCGGGATTTGGGCGGTACGGAACGGTTCTTTGTTGGTGTATCGGCGATGAAGTCTATGGGAGCAAGCTCATCGGCAGGGCCAGAACCGTCGTCGGTGGCGAGTCCATTTGGGGGTGCGCCGTTGGGGCGGCGATTCGAAGCGGACGCTGCACTGCCATTCTTTGGCCGACCTCGGGCCTTGCTCGGTGTCGCCCTCGTTGAAGTGGCCGCCGATTTCCTTGCCAGCTTGGGGCCGACAATATCCCCTTTGTCCCATTTTGTTCCTCTGAGCGCCGCCAATTTTATTGCCGGCCGGATATGGGGGACAGCGGGGGCTTGCGAAGAGGGGTTGGCTGCAAGAACATTGCCATTTGCGGCGTGTGGCTGAGAAGTGCTTTCAGAAGCGGTGCCGCTATCTGCAGGCTTCTGCTGTTGGCGGGCATATCCAAAGACGCCTGAGATGGCCGAGGCAATGGCGTTTAGGGCTCTGGGCGTCGAGGGCGACTGAGGGCTCGCACCGTCGAGCTTGATGCGCTTGCTGGACGCCGGGGTCGAGGCCGGCGCGGCATCTGCCTGGGGGAGCTGTCGCTTCCGGCTGGTGGGCGTGGTCGCGTCATGATCCATGGCCATCGAGCTCTGTCCGAGGGCAGGTTAGGAGGCTCCAAGGCGAATGCAGATGCAAGACAGAGAACAAGGACCGGATAAACTGCGACGTCGCTGCATCCTCGGTCTTGGTTGGTGCTGGCGACGCGGCGAATTGTGGAGATGGGGGCGATGGCGGCGGTCGTCGAGAAGGGGAGGAACTGAGATGACGTCCGGGCCAGCGCGTACGAGACGCGCTTGACGCGGCCTGCCATTACTGTAAAGGGATTAGGGGGCTATGATCACGTGACTGATTCGCGAACGCCATGTCAGTCTCGCCTCAACTCGGAGCATCTCAGTTTATTCGATAGTTGTACGGAGGAGATAATTACGCCTTCCTTTCGCACCTCGGTACGGCTGGGTTCATATTACTTACTCGTGCAGGCTATTCTGTCGTAAACAGTACTGGATGGAAGAGTCTCGGGACTCGATTAGCGGGACAGACGCCCAGCTTAGTCAGCGGCCACAACAGGCCACGAGAAGAGGCTATCGCGATGCCGAGGTCTCTTCTTGCACATCTGCAGAAACCAATAAGCACTGTCTCTGCACACACCAGGAGATGGATGAGCCTAACCTCGTTCACGTGCCTTTTTGCGACTCGACTGCCGCCCGCCCCACGGCATTCGTCGTGCCCTTTTCGATTCATACGGCAACAGACGGGGCTTCCTTGGCCTTGGCAAATCTTAACTCATAAGGTATATTAGCCTCGCCGTTGCTTGGCATTCGACGTGCATGTAGGGCTGATGGTTCATCTGCCGTGAAACTGACGGTGCCCTCCGATAGCCACCTACCAAATGAGCCTCAGAGTCTGACTGTCCATACAGCAAGCAAACCTCTCTGAATACTGCCTTGTCAAACCTTGACTGACGGCTTGCCAGTCGACTCTCTGGCTAGGAGGAACTGAGCCGGGCGGATCCTCGACGGCCTCGATTGAGTCATTTCCTTTTAGCCCCTTCTCGGCCAAGACATCTCTATGCATGAGCCCTGTCCCTGCTCGGCCCTCTGGCCTCTTCAACTGCGAGCCTTCGGAGCGATGCGTCCGTTCAAAGCCCATGGAGACTCCAATTCGCCCGAGATGACCAGTTCTGCGGTCCTAATTCCACCGAGTCGCTGCGGCCTCGCTCATTTTTCACAAGGCGCTGCGAGCATGGCCCGACAAACAGGACCCTCATATCTCGGCCCGCCCGTGGGCGGTGGAGTCTCTTGACCCATGCACGTCCACTTCTCTCGAGACCTGCTGCTCGTTCGGGTCCTATTTCGTCGCCCAGCCTGGAGCCTTGGGTAATAAGAAATCTGCCTGGCTTCCCTCCATCCGCAAATATGGCGACCTCACTCAGAATCAACGTCACCACCGGTTCGCTCGCCCACAGCGGTCCCAAACGGGTCGCCTCACTCGCGAAAGCATCAAGCCTCAGACCGTCGACACTATGTCGGACATTGGGAGCTCGAGCCTGCCTGACAAGCTCCGGCCGTTGAAGAGCCCTGTTCTCAGTTCTACGAGTACCTGTCAGAGCCGCCGCCCGTCGCGCTCTCCAAATGACAGCCAAGACGACATTGACGACGGCGTCGGCCCCGGCGGCGACGATGATGACCTCCCGGAGTTTGAGCGAGTGCGTTTCTCGTTATCCTGCTAGTTGTTTCTTGCTGACTGTCATGCGCTCAAGCACTCCGAGCCAACGCTCCTCGAGATCTTCTTCGATCTCTTCTTCGCCGCAAACTACAACGTCTTTTCCGACACCCAGAACATCAGTGACAAAACCCAATTCGAAGCCTTTGTTGGCTACTTCTGGTACACCGTTCTGCGCCTGCAACCGCCTATTCGCTGCCCCTGACGCTGACCGCATCACTGCCAGCATCCTGTGGCTCACGTGGTTCGCTGTGACCCTGTTCGACGTTCGTTTTGTCACCGACAGCATCTTCTGTGAGGCTTTCCCCTTTCTCGAACTGTTTGGCGAGTCTCTGTATCTAGACTAACCAGCCAAAGCTCGCGTGACGAGAGCCATTCAACTCGGCGTCTTGGTTGGCTTCGCTGTCGTGGCTCCCAGCTTCAACCCAAAGGAGCAGCACCCCGAGACCATGCAAATTCTATGTACGTGCTGAAGCAGCAAAGCTGTCGTCGGCGTCGGGTTTAGGCTACAGAGACTGACCGAATCTAGCTCTCATCCTCGCGTGCTCACGCGCGTGCTTGACTATTGAATATGGCACCACGCTGTGGCATGTGCGGAGGTTCAAGGCGGCCCGCTTGCCGCTCTGTCTCCAAATCGCCGTTCATTTCGCCTCCGCGTCCGTCTATCTGGGAGTCTCTTTTCGCTATACAAAGGGGATCAGCAGCCGTGCATATTTGGCATGGTACTGCATTTCAGGAGCCGAGGCCATTCTTTGCATCCTCTTGTCTAATTTCTCACCGGTCCTCTCCTTCACCAGGACGCATCTCATGAAGCGCTTGACACTTTTGACAGTCATGATCATCGGAGAAGGTGTCGTTCAAGTAGCGCAGGACGTTGTGACGATTGTTAAAAACCCGGATGCCTGGGGTGAGTTTGGCTTGGCTCACCTGCATTAGACACGATGGAGATTCTAATCAGGCCAACAGACGCAATAACCGTCGGACAAATCACGTCTGCGGCCGCAACCTTCTACATTGTCTTCTTGGTTTATTTCGATTGGCTCAAATCCTCCTTTCACCTTCCCGCCTTGCGGCAGCAGGCCTGGACCGTTGTCCACCTGCCCTTTCACCTTGCCCTCGTCATCTTCACACAGGGCTTCACGCAGCTCATCCTCTGGTCAACCGTCTTGAGTCGCTCAGGCGAGTACGAAGACTTTGAGGACTGGGGTTTCCTCACATCACCCCTGAACAAGACGACCAGTCAAGTCTACGACTCGCTCAACGCCAGTACTCTAAATTTCTTCAACGATTACCCTCCCAAACTACACACTACTTGGGAGACTATTGGCGAAGCCCTCAAGAATATCTCCCGAATTCCTGACTGGGTTTGGGCTCACGCCCATGAGGACCGTCGTGAAGTCGAGATCAACTTCAACACCAGCTTTAAGGACACGTTGGACGAGAACACCAACCGTGCCATTTGGAGCATCGTCACCATCTCATGCGCAAAAATCAATGCATTTGTTGCTACGTACGGGATAAAGCTCGAGGATAAAGGGCTTACCAAGTATTGGGGGGGTAATAAGACAAGCCCAGAGTATCAACTTGGTGTTATGAATGCGGCGTCTGATCGCTACATCCTGGTAGTAAGTTGTCGAACCTTTGGATCACCAAATCTACGAGTGATGCCGTCGGAAGGCTAATGCACGAGCGCAGTTTGCGTACACCTACATCGCCACCGGGGCGACCCTGCTTCTTATGATCATCCTAACCTTGCTTGTGCGCGGACTGCCTCGCAAAGCATGGCCTAAAATTCGCATCGTCGTCATCGTTCTCTTGGCTCTCGGCACCGGCCTCACCGCGCTTTTCGCCTCGAACCGGGATCTTGAGTCCGCGCCCCCCTTGACGCCTTGGCTGTTGCCCATGATCACCCTGATGTGGTGTGTTGTCTTGATCGTCACGCACGTCAACGGAGAGGGCGTCAAGCGCAACGCGCACGTCTTCAACCGCCTCAAGCGGCCACATGCCGTCCGCTCCTTCACCCTGTCTTCGGTCGCGCTATGGGATAGACGTGATCGCGAGGATAGGAAGAAGCGCTCCGAGCGGTCCATGCGATGGTTCAGCCAGCCGGATGATTTGTGAGCACAGCCGCAAGACACTTGGCGCACAGAGATGGAAGGGTGGCGAATGGTGTTTGTCCGGCACATTGTGTTGTATGTTATTCTGTCATAACTTGATGAACAATAATTTCAAGGCAAGCAGTCGGGCTGGGACGTGACAGAGTCCGAGGAGAGAAAGGGCGCATTATGGACCTTGATGGCATAGCCGAAAGTACTCACGGCGTTCCGACCGAATCGCGAAACATTTTACGGCCTGAACGCCCCCTCTAGAAGATATACTACTCGAAAGTTGTCGATGTTTGCTTGGCTAGCTCAAGAACCCTCGCCGTGTCGAATCCTGCTCGTCACTTGTACCTCGCGTCCTCTGCGGGCCGTGGTGATGAGCTACTTCCTCGAGCCCCTTCACGGCATCGCGCTCTCGTACCCATGTGAAAGACTAGTCTCCGCCGCTGACACTCGGTCCGCATCCCTGAGCAGCGACTTGGCCTTGCCCCTCCCATGGTAGACGCACACGCCCGTCCCGCCGCTCTTGTGGCGACTGTGTGCAGGACACAGCGGGCTGTTGGGCAGGTGCTCGGGCACGTCGAACTGAAAGTTGCTGCCGCCACCGGCGCCGGCGCCGCGGCTTGCCACAGGGCCAGCAGCGAGGGGCCGCGGGCCGCGGCGGAGGGCGCGCTGGGGCGACACCTCCCACCACTCGCGCGTGGGGGCCGAGAGGCTGCTGCCGCGGAATGCTGCGCCGTGGATGCCGGGGCGCGGGCTGGGCGCGAGTATGGGCGACGTCGAGGGCGGCGGCGCGGGGGACGCTTGGGTGTCTGAAGGGGGTGTGGTGCAGGTGAAGAAGCCGCGCGGCTTGCCGTCGGCCGTGTCTTCGTCCAAGGGCGGGGTGCTGACACGGACGGCTTCCTGTTGACACGAGACATCAAGGGTCAGAATAAGAGCATCTCGAGAGAGGAAGGGGACGCGCGGAGTAGAAGTGCATAGGACAAGGGAGGCAAGTCAACGGAATGAGATCACGGGGATGCTCAGGGTAGCCTCACTCCGCCGGGAAACTGGCTGATTGCCGACTTGAAACTGTCCGCCAATCCCGTTGCTGCACAAACCGTTAGCCATTCCCGCCTGGGTGAATCTGGGGGCACCGACACCTCCCCAAGGGGAAAACTCACAGGCCATGGTATACGTGGACATGGGCGTGGCCGGCGGCGTCCCACGTTGGAGGAGATCCCTGGCCGAGTCCCCAAACGAGCCTGCCGATCCCCTGCGGTGCCAGGGCGCTCGGCCAAAGAGCTTGCGGGAAACCCTCACCGTGCCAGAGTCGTCCTTGGGCCGGGTGGCCGATCTGCCGCTGCCGCCGACGGAGTGATGGTGGCTGTGGTTCGGCCGGAGCCAGCGGCGCAACCCATCCGTGGCCGCTGGGAGAACTGCGTCTTCGTCGTCGTCGTGGTCGGTAGTGTGGAAGGCGGAGCGGTACTTCTGGTGCGCCGCGGGTGAGTCTACGTTCTTGGCTGCGTACAGCTGCGCGTCCCCCCAGCCATTTGGGCAGCGGGGGGTCTTCTGTTCTTACCTCTTGGCGATTTCGTGGGCGGAACTTGAACTCGACTTCTCTCCTAGCCTTGGAGAGCCATCGCCTGCCGTGCAGGTGCCAGGAGGAAGCGGAGGTGGTCGAAGAGGACACAGCAGCGGCGGAGGCGGCCGCGGCAGACGGCACTCGGACGACGGTCCGCTGAGAGGCGTCCTCGTCCACGCGACCATCCCTCGGAGGCCATTCCGGAAACGACGGCGGTGGAGCGACGAGCTTCTCGGCCGACTGGTAAGGCATCGCGAAGCCCGGTGGGTTCTGCAAGGAAAGCACGTGCGCCGACTCGGACAGAAAGGGACTCAGCGGCGGCGGCGCAGCGGCGTCGAGATGGAGCGCGTGCCAGCCCGGCGCACTCGCCGACGGCGGCGAACAAGCCGACGAAAAGTCGCCCGCGTCCATCTCGCTCGTTGACTTTGTCGAGCGCGAGCGCCACTTCCAGAAGCGCGAGCTGGCGTTACTCTTGTTGCGCGGCGGGCCTGCCAGCCGGCGCTCTGCCCAGTAGCCCTCGGGGAACCAGACCTACTCGAACCCGTCACGGGGCGGGCGTGGCGGGTCGACGCCGTGCCAGCGCGGCCGGGGCATGGTAGGGCTTGGTGTCGCGGCCGTCTTTGCGCCGTGCAGGACCGTCGTCGAGGCTGGTGAGACGTCTGCCACGGCTCCGTCGTCGGGCATCCAGCTGCGCCTTGAAGGGCTGATGGCCCTGTTGTCATTCTCGTCGTCGTCGTCATCGTCGTCGTCGTCGTCGCCGCCGCCGTCTCCCTCGTGGGCCATGGCTGCGGACGACAACGTCGGAAAGGCGAGGCGAAAGACTGGCGGCGTCGGGAGGCGCCCGAGTGGGAGGTTGAAGTAACAGTAGCTATGCGGACAAGGGATGTCAGTGAACAGGTGCGCCGCAAAAGCACCTTGTCCCTCTGGGCAACGCCTGAGGACCAGAACGAGCAACAGGAGCGGAGTCGCGCGTCGTGACACGCACTTTATCTCACCAGGGATCGCCGCGGCGCTCGACACCATGGCGCCGCGGATGAGCGAGTCGGACGCGGCGCCTCTGACGGGCCGCAGACGCACCGGGGCCAGCCCAGCCTCGGTCCCTGGTCGCAGAAAGGGGGCCACTATGGGGAGCTGTGCTTTGCGCCGGATCGGCAGGAGACGAGGACAAGGGCTGCTTGAGCGGACGAGGGGGGCGCTTAGGGTTATCGATGCTGACAGTCTCTGGGGCAAACAAGAATGTGTCTCATATAGGTTGGATAGGTCGGAACTCATGGATAGATGTGTCAGGGTCGTTGGCCACATGGCCGTGCGTCGTAAGTCGGATGCTCCACACGTTCGGCAACGGCATCAAGACATGCCATCCCTCGCCTTCCCACGACGCTCCTTACCTGGACCATTTGACCTCACTTGCCTCGTCCCCCGCTCGCGCAGGCCTGGGACGCCTCAACGCTTGGCCCGGAAAGCGTGAATCGGGCAGGCACAGATAGGGGGTAGCCAGCTGTAGATGTTGCGTGGCGAAGAGCGACTCTATTCACTGGTATCGAAGTGTCCACTGTTTGCGCTCGCAGGTGCTGCGGTAGATCCTCAACCATCCCCCCTCCCTCACGTCTCCGCTTCCTCCTCATCGTGTCGTCTCGAGCAAGATAGGAATGATTTTTCACGCCCAACATCGCAAGGGCCCGTCACGCCAAACGCCGTACATGGAATTCTCTGAAACGTTAGATTCATACCCGGTATGCACTCCGTCCTCACGAAGCCGGTCGTCATGAGTCGATGGCCATGGTATCATCTCCGTCTAGCGCCATGCCCTGCGGCTCCAGAGGCACGCCGCGGCCCCGCCCAGCCAGCAGCTCTCGTCGAACCTCGGGCCCGATGGCCGAGTGGCCGTGGCTCAGCAGGAGATCCAGCAGCTCCTCGCGCTGGTCCTCGGTGATGTCTCCCTTGTATCGCTGTGCAAACGCAAGCAGGCTTTGATGCCAGATGACGGGCAGCTTGGCCCTGGCATCGCCCTCGGCCGACAGCCCAGCCATGGCATCTCCTGGCTGTACACCGGCGGGGTCGACGCTGCGAAACCGCAGGAAGTGGAACACGAGGGCGTCGATGACCTGGTACGGCAAGGCGTACTTCTTCTCCAGCAGCGTCTTGATGAAGATGTTTGTCGCGCCGCCGCCTTCGCTGCCCTGTGACGCCTCTTGAGCGGCAATGTCACACAGGCCCTTGAGGGCGGCGGCCGAGTGCAAGACGGGAATAGATATCCTAGCAAGGACGGCCGAGATGATGTGCGCCTCTCGCAGGGTGCACGTCCCGCTGCCCACGAGCGGGAAGAGGAAGCCTTTGAAGAATGCCGCAGGCTTGTAGAGGGCCTTTTTGAGCGAGTTGAAGAGGTGAACGTTGAGCTTCTTGTTGTCGTAAATATCCTCGCGGACCTTTTCCAGAATCACCATTTCAAGGAATCGCTGGACGACGACGGGCTTGTGGGAAACAAAGATCCTGGTCGCTTGGTAGCAGGCGTTGGGCGTCCAGCTCTCGGGCTTTGTAATGTCGAGAATCTCCTCCCAGTGCGGCACCGTGGGGAGAATCTTAAAGGGCTTGGGTAGCGGCCCCGACTTGTAGCGAGTGAGGATCTGTCCGATTCTAGGCATGGTCAGCAAAGGCGCGGGACGAGCTCATGGGTGCAGATGGCACTTACTTGGTGTAAGCCTCGACGACCTTGGGGGGAAGCTCGTAATCGTCGACGGGCAAGCCGGCCTCTTTCCTCGCCTCGGCAGCCTCGTGCGCGGCAATCTTTTGTAGAATGAGATCGGCCAAGTTGATGCTCTCTCCCTCGTCCTCGCCAGAAGGCTTGCGATCCCAACCGTGTTTGAGGAGGTCGTCTTCGTCGTCGTCGGGCATAAACTTGTTGTAAGTCTCGAGATCTTCGGGGTCCACCTCTATCTCCTCAGCCACTTCTTCCTCACCGCCCCATGCATCGTCGTCGTCGTACGTTTTGCCTTGTTCGTCTGCAGCGTCGTCGAATCGCGAGTCGTAGCCAAAGTTGTCGACGGCAGGCTCCGGCATGGCGGCTCGCATCTCGGCGTTTTCCTCGTCGGCCAGCTCGCGACCGATGCGCAGGATATTGTGCGAGGCCTTGGAGTCGACGAAGCTTTGGTCGGCATACTGGCTGTTAGTCGACTTTTTCTTGCTCGGCTTGTTTCGCAGCAGTCCGGTGGCGGTAATGTCGTCCTCGAGGGGATTGTGACGCCTAGCCTGGCGGCCGGCCACAGGGGCCGTGGTTTTGGGCATGTTGCAGTGATGAGGGCGCAAGGGTCGGGGGAGAAGTCGTCTTGCGATGATGGGCGCTGGGCGGTCGAGGGGAAACCAGATCAAAAATTTATTGGTCTTATCGATCTGCCACCCCTCAGTTCTCGTTAGGGCTTAGCGCATGGCTGACCAGTCTCACCGCCTAGATGACAAGGTACAAAGTACATCAAGTCGCGACACTACTGTACGAGCTCTGGATGCGTACAAGTCGGGCCTTGAATTGCCTCGAAAAACATAGAATTCAGCTTCCCATGGAAATCTTCAAAAGATGCATGTTAGATTTTGCTTTCTCGTGAGCCGGTCCCTTGGCCAGAGTGTGCAACGGCGGGTCTCCACTTTGATGACAAAGACCTCTGTCACTACAGCAGCATCTCCACTATCGCGATAAATAAAAGTGCCCCTCCATTGCCAGTCAAGCCAAAGGCGCTGTTCCAACACTCAAAGCCATTCCCTCTCCCCGGGTCAAAGCCAAGACAGCCCCGAGTTGAGGGCACAACCGTGCCAAGATGCCGACAGAACTAAAAGAAGTATGCCATCCCAAGTTCAGACGATTTTTTTTGATAAAAAACCCCAAAATCCCTGTTTCCTAACATGGCAATGACGACAGCTCGTGGGCTTCATCGCCCACCCCAACCCTCAGATTCGCCTCGCCGCTACAGAGAACCTGGTGCCGTACTCGACAGTCGAGCCGGCAATCTTCAAGGCCGACGGCCTCAAGCCCGTCAAGAACCTGAAGCTTCTAGTCAAAGATCATCCTGTAAGTCGGACACTTGGCCCGGACCACGACCTTTCGCCCCCTGACCCTCTTGCTCCGCAGAAAATAGCCGAGCATGTCCTGACGTTACTCGTCAACCTGTCTGCCGACCCCGAAGTGCTAGAGGAGCTGGCCAAGGATGACAAGTTCCTGGAGCTCGTCTTTCTTTACATAGTTGTAAGCTCACTTGAGCACCCGCACCACCCTTTGCCGCCCATTAACTCCCCTCCGATAGAACCCTGAGGAGCCAAATGCAAACTCGCTCGCCATGCTTCTCGCCAACCTCGCCAAATGGAGTGGTTTCGAGAGCGTGCTGCGAAAAAGGCAACAGCCTCCCGCGGAATTGGGCTCCGACGACAAGGTCCTGAACCAACTCCTAGACCTCTTCGTCAAGGGCCAAGACGGCTCCTACAACAAAAAGGCAGACTTCGACTACCTGGCCTACGTCTTCGCTGACCTGGCAAAACACGTTGACGTCCGGCAGTACTTTGTCGACTCACAGAGCTACGACGGCGTCATCCCCCTGACCAAGCTCAAGGTCTTCACCGAGCACAAGTCCGAGGTGCGGCGCAAGGGCGTCGCCAGCACAATCAAAAACGTCGCCTTCGAAGTCCAGTCTCACCCTTCCTTTCTATCCGACACGGCCATCAACATCCTCCCCTACATCCTGCTCCCCATCACCGGCAGCGAAGAGTACGACGTCGACGACACCATGGACATGCTGCCCGACCTGCAGCTGCTGCCGCCCGATAAGAAGCGCGACCCGGACAGCACAGTCATCCAGACCCACGTCGAGACGCTGTTGCTCCTGACGACGACAAGGGAGGGGCGTGATCTGATGCGCCGAGTCAAGGTGTATCCCATCATCCGCGAGACCCATCTCCACGTGCACGACGACGACGTCAAGGAAGCGTGCGAGAGGTTGGTGCAGGTTCTCATGCGAGACGAGGACCAGGAGTCGAGTGAGCGGGCCCAAGAGATTCAAGGGGACGACGAGGAGGAAATTATCGAAGTATGAGTTTCCATGTGCACGAGCCGGTGAAACCTGGAATACCATGCAATCTGAACGTTGGGGACTTATTTCCTGAATGATGAATACCATACCTGTATACAATTACACGCAAAGGGACTATTTTTACTAGATGGGGGAATAAAATAAAGTGCAAGTTTCATCATGGCCGGTATCCAGACCTTATTGCCATGGATGAAACGGGAATCGAGGGAATCTGATGCGCTTCGGTGCGCATTTGCAGCGTCGACTTTTGACGCGTGAAGAGCCGGGACAGAGCAAGGAGACGTTTCCAAATCAATGCTCGTCACTTCAGTTTGCTCGTCCTCTCAGTCTTCTCATCAACGGTGTTGTTCGTCGTCCCACCGGCCGTCTCGCCAGCCGACAAGAAGTCGCCCCCCCTCGCATCTCTCCCGCTTGGTGGAGTGACAAAAATAGGCGACTCTCGAGCCGGCTCCTGCTCTTCGGGCAACACGTCCATACGCCCAGAGTCGCCGGCTTCAGCGGCATCAGGCCTGGCCAGCTGAGGGGTGTTTCCGAGCAACGGAGAATCCAACACAGGGCTGTGTGGTGCATGCGAGGCCCGGGACACCAAGCTAGAGTCGTCCCCGAAGCCAGACGTGGACTCTTGAGAGGGCGCCGACGGCGAGTGGAATTTGTGGGGTGCAAAGTGCGAGTGCTTTTGAATTACTTCGACGGGCGTCAGACCCGTGTCGTGAAGCTCGATTGGCGGCGAAGTGTCTTTGTTTACCTTGTTAGCAGTCGTGGTAACAGCACAGTAGCACGAGCATTGCACGACGTACCTCCCAGCTCTGCCAGCTGAGTGTCAGCCATCTCATGGCGGGAAGGCGGCGTCTCATGGTGCGAAGGCGTGCGCCCTGGCGACAAGGCGGGAGAGCTTGCAATCCTTGCCCTCTCCGGGTCTGGACTTGGGGCCCCTGAGCTTGTCATGGTCAACGCCTTCTCTGCTCCCTGGCCCCTGATCCACGATCGGATCCGGGATGCGGCCTCGTCCGAGTCTCCCGAGCCGCTGCCGCCGTAACGCCGGCGCCTGAGATGGAGCCACCACACAAGAACACCGACTCCAGCGAGAACAATAACGGGCACAACTACGGCGGGAATGATGATGCTCTTTTTGTCGCCACCACCCTTAGTCTCGTCAACGGGAAGCTCGAGCCGCCCTGCCACAGCTGTGGTGTCGTAGGGCCAGTAAGCCTTGATTTTGCTGCTGTCGTACTTTTGAGCAAAGACATCGGCAAGCCCGCTCGTAGCCCAGCCAGAAGGCATCGGCGCCGTGGCTGTTGCGCCGCCAGAGGCATCGCCCCCGATGGTAGCTCGCACCTTTTCGTGAACTCCATATTTGCCGTACCTTTTCGGATCGTACGAGTCCAGCCACTCCCCGCTGGTGATGTTGAAGACCACGACGGGCCCCTTGTCTAGGCACGAGGGAACATTACCGGCTTCTGGGACGTAACCACCAAATACCATCATCTGGTCCGGATACGGGAGAAAACATTTGTGACCGGACCGTGCGTGAATCTCCGTGCCGTTGTTGATTTGGGTCCAGGTGAAGGAAGGAAGTGAGAGAACCCAGACATCATCGTGAAAGGCGTCCTTTGGATGAATGCCATCAAATCCACCGTAGTAGTGGATGTTGAAGCTCGACCGGTCAGCAGCAGGGGCCACCACAGCGCAACCTCTACTGCGGGTTCCAGGGCCGTTTTTGGTCGGCTGCTTATACCACTTGTCACCGGCGACGTCGTAAATGTCAATGACTCTCATGAACTCGGGACTCTCCTTCTCCTGAGAAGGCTGTTAGCGTTCAACTCTCCGAGTTTGAATCCATTGTAAATCACTCACGCTCGCCGCTGGGTCTTCAGACTTGTGGATGACAGTGGCCCATTCGGGATATGTCACGCCACCGAGGACCACGAGTATTCCTTGCTTTCCAACTGGAACCCAGACAACTTCCGCGTTGGAGCGGCCCTTGATGTCATCCGGCAGGGTAGAATTGCTCCATTTCTCCTCGAGCTGTGTGGTCATATCCAGTGTGATGAGAGTGTTTGAGATGTTCATTGCCATGGTAGTTCGGTTGGGATTGGACATGATCGGCCCCCGAGTCGGGGACGTCAGGCCGGAAAAGTACCACGCCTTGTTCTCCGAAGGCGCGCTGACCGCTGCGCCCGAGGCAACGTATCGAGTAACTCCGTCATCGAGATGAGCTGGATGGAAGCCTTTCTGCCACAACGGCTTGTCTCCCCCGTACTGATACGCTTGATATCCCAGCACCGCGTCGGCAGCAGGTTGATCGTAGAGGTCGTCGTTTCGAAACAGGGCACCGCCGTAGAGGAAGAACTCGGCATCGTTGGCAAGCATACCTCCATCGTACGAGTTGGGCTCCGCGCTGATGCCGTTTTCCTTGCCCCCTGTGGCCTTGAACAGCTCATTCTTGACCAGAAGCCCCGTGGTGTTTGTGTCTGGCGTAATCGGATCGCTGAGGTTATAAGTGAGGATGACACCTTGGAAGTTGCCTTTGGCCGGTCAGTTGGAAATGGCCAAGAAGCTTGCTGCCGGGAGATTCACAGACCATTGTTCACGACCGTTCCTAACTCTCCCGAGTCGAGGCCAGGCATCCACCAGATATTGCCTCCATCCAGGTAAACTATATTCCTAACCAAGGCGGCTGGGGCGCACAAGTTAGCGACATAGGGGAAACCCGTTCTCTTTGAGAGTCACGGAGTCAGTCTTTGATCAGTCTTACCTCGAGGCTGTTTCCAGTAGCAAATGCTTGTGTTGATCTGACGGGCCTGCCAGCTGGTAAACTGGGCGGAAACCTGAGCCGCCAAACCTGCGGCATGGCCCAAGACAAGACCTGTGCGAGCTCTCATGACTATACTGACACGGACGCAGAGCAGTCTGGTACAACTCGGCGTTGATGGCGCAGTTTAGGAGCACGCAAGGCTAGCATTGCATCCGAGAGATCCCGTTGGCGACGCTTTTGTTGCAAGCCCTGCTTGGATCTCTCCGCAGAAACTATGCCTGGATGAAAGTGGAGCGTGAACAGCTGTGCACAATGGTGGTTCGACCGACTTTGGACGGCGCTCGTTGCAAGTACAGTAGTGGCGATGATTTAGGATGGCCCGAACTATCCCGTAGGGGATAACAGACGCGAGAAAAGTGGCCAGTACGCATGGACAACGGGACACGACACATGACTATGCAGACTGACGCACAATGTACAGCATGCAGCAGGCAGGGGGAAGCAGGCTCATCCAAGTAACACGGCCGTGTTTGGCAGAAGGCACGGGCAAACTCTTTGTTAAGACAAAGGGAAGACGAGCCGCCTTTGGCCAAGCCGTGGCCACGCATGAGCTGTGGCGGCCAAGTATCGAGAAGCGGCTGAAAAGGGTATAAGGACGCCCCCCGAAGCGGAATGCTTCGGCGGCGGCGGACGATGTGATGCTTTTGCCTCTTGCGAGAGGGTGCCTCGCGCAGGCTCAGGCGGCAGCACGGGCCGTGCCATGGCCGGATTCGAGTCAATGCGTGGCACCCAGTAACGGCCAGGCCGGGCTTGGACGTAGAACGACTTATATGTCAAGATTCTGCTGGTAATGGCCGCCAAGCTGAAGGACGGCAGACTTTTGGTGTCCAACTTTGCAGGCATCGAGGCACGGCTAGCGAGGGACTATCCTTGATTGAGTGCTGGACCGGCGTTGGGCTTCTGTCGTGGCTTTTGAGCACACAAGCATGGCATCGCATGTGCCATGTCTCGGGCCGGAAGCTTGTTGATCGGGGACCGGGACCACGACTTGATAGAAATACAATGCGATTGAATAATCGCGATTCTGTGTGCAACCGCGGAGTCGATCGGGCCTGCAGCAAGCGCCGGGGAGGAGAGGGAAGAGCAGACCCTGCAACCCAGTTGAGCCAATACGAGCCAATACGGATCTGTTGCCAGGCCGAGGGTTTGGCCACGAAATATGGGCCGATTGCATATGCGGAGGGAAGAGGCGTCGGGCTTCCGCACGGCAGGAGGTGTTGTTTGTCTTGACTTAGATCTGACTGCATGTGCCGACTGCAGCTTCAACCGATTGTGATTGCTTGCTTGACAGCCAATGTGCGTGCGTGCAACTGTGCAACCAACGCACGACCTGGAGGCTGTGCCGTGCGCTGCCAACAAGGCCTGGACTGGCACTCGCGGACATGTTGATAGAACGTCGCCGTCTGCCTCGCCCTCGCAAACGGTGCTCCTGGGCGCGACGTTGGGTCCGCGATGGCGGGCTTGGTTCGTGCGGCATGGCGTGCGGCCGTGTGCTCCGCCAATGTGTGAGAGGGTGTGCGTCTGTCGGAGAACGGACAATGATGACGTTGGTATTGTGCTGTGTATTGAGGAGACGGAACCAACGCCGCGCAACTGACGTTACTCGAGGTTCGTAACAGAAATCATGGCGATGCAGAGGCGGTGGTTTTTGCAGGCGGGTCTCCCCGCGTCTCTGATCTGCGTGCTGTACGGAGTATCGTAGCGAGTACCAGTAAAGTCAGCGCTGCCAAGTAGGTAGGTAGGTACCTATGATCCAAGTAGTGCAGGCTACAAGCAGATGCGGGGGTTGCAGTTGTACGAAGTACTGGGGTTCCCTACCTACCTACTCTACCTGGCAGTCGCTACCGACAGGCCGCCTGCCCTGGTACTTACCTAGGCAGCTGCCATCCCTGCCCCGCTGGCAGCCGGAGAGAGTCTGATGCGTGTCAAGTACCCTATACCGTGGCCTTGAATAGGAGAGAAAAGACAGGATGTGTACTCTGTACTCTCTACGTGCCCAAAAACCTCTCATCCCTCCACCTCCGACTCCACAGGCTCTACCCAGCTCCAACCTCTCTGCCTTCCAACCTCACTCGTCTTGTTCTCCATCCCCTTGCTTTGTTTTCCCGGTCACCACCAACGCCTTATCGAAGGTCCCAACGTCTCTCCTGTTTCTTCACGCCCCGCCATCTCTACGCGACTTGGACGCTGCAGCTTCAGCTTCTGCTTCAGCTTCATCCGGCGTCGCGCCATCGCCTTGGTACCCCTTGTGCATAAGTTACATACATAGTCTCGCCAACGCAACCATTGCCGTCAACTCTCTGTGGCGACTTTCGCACTGCATACTGCACGTGCATCAATCATCCTCTTCGGGACGCTGAGGCTCACTGTGCATACAGACAGCGTACAGTACTCGCGTAACGCACATACATCTACGACTGCGCACCCGGCGAACAAATCAACGGCATCCGTGCCCGATCCTCCTCCGGTGCCGCCGGCTTCCAAAGGATCTTGCTTTTGCCAGCTCTCTGCGGCAGGGTATGCGGTCCATCGGTCTGACGTTGTCCCACCCCAGGCTGCGGGTGACTGGGCTTGACGGCGCCCATGATTCCGCGCCCGCCAGCCGGCTTTGTCCTGGCTCTCTTGCGGAGAAATGAAACGGCCCATTGCAGGCTGCAGCCTCAGACAACGATCCCGAGAGACCAAGATACGTCGTGCTCGTCTTCCATCACGGCGACGCTTGACCTCTGGGAACCGCGCGAGCAACAGCCATGTCTTGCCATGGGAAAGGAACCAACCAGCCAGCCAACAAACTTCTTGCTGGGCAGCACCCTTGTCGAGGCTAGCCATGCCCGATCGTTGAGGTGTTTCCCCTATTTGTGCTCACTCTGGGCCCTCGACTTCTGAACCGACATCGTCGAGTAACCTAGCCTCATGCCGCCTTCTTCGTATACGACGTCCTATGCCCAGGGTAAGCACCTTTCGGATGAAGTTCGGTGCGCAGCCCCGCTCGGTCATCGTCGACATCTCTCTTCCGGTCGCATCGCTCCCGTCGTGCGTCCCTTTGGCCGTGGACCCCACGCCAAGCTCCCAACATCGAGGCTGAGCCCCTGCCGACAGGGGGTTAGTTGTCTGCATCTCCATGACCGGCCCATGTAGCAAGGAGCTCACCTTCTCGTACTCGGACTAACAGCGCAACATGCTGCCTGCCATGAGGCTGGGCTTGTCACCCGATCCGATACGGGCTTCTCCTCCACGTGTGCCCCGGCAGGCAAATCATGATGGGCCGCTCCTGACGCACCTCTGCATGCTGTTGTACGACCAGTCTCTTTTAGAGATACTTTGGTGGCCACCAAGCCTCCTCTGGTCACCGCGACCGCTGGAGTCGATTCCGGCGGCCCGTTCCCAGATATCATCGGCCCTCAGAAACCCCTGGAAGCCGGATCAGCAGGTCCGTCCGTGCCTTCGGTATGAACCTTTCGATGTCCTGCGCAGGTCGGACAGTTTCTACCACGTCCTTGCCCTTGGGTCCTAGCCACTCGACGGACAAGCCGTTGATGGCTGTTGGTCCTGCCTCGCTGTAGAGCCTCTGCCTCTGGAGCGACTGAATCGCCCACCTTTGCGTGACATCAATCCTGAGCCTGGACCATCCACCTGTGCAATAGTCGTGCCTGTCCCGTTACTGCCTAGGCTGGCTCAAGCCCAGCCGGAGAGGCCTCGCATATCTGCTGCATATATGCCTAGCCGTCCGTCCCGACACAGCCTTATGCTTTTGTCTTGGCTGTAGTTGCCATCGTCGTCTTTGCAAACTCTCGTTTTTTGTGCCTGGATTGCCGCTAACGAGACCTTTTGCTGGTCTCTTGGACGTTCGCTTCCGCCGCTCGCTTCTCGCGGTTTGCGCGGCGACTCGGCTCAAGATGCGTTACGGCAAAGCCTTCTGGGTCCTTGGAGCCCTTCCACTTGTTTCTGCAGATCCTCCTTATTCCGGGAACGGGACTTCTCGAGGGACACCTTACGCAGTCGATGCCGTCACCAGTCAACAGTATCAGTCTCCAATCCCTGGGTGCCGGGAATGCTGCACGTCGACGTTGCTCGCCACCACGTATCAGTAAGTTTGTCTCCAAACTTTCCATGTCTCATGGTCGGATGGCTTATACAGCGCCTCAGCACGACTTTCTACGAGACCGAAACGGTGAGTCTTGGCCGTTGATGTGCGGGACCTGCTCTGACTGTTGTCGACGGGCCAGGTCACTATCGCAGTCACCCAGCATGACGTTTCCACCAAACTTGAGTATGAGCCAGACCTTGTCACGGGAACCACCGCTTCAACTTTTGAGACGGTAAGTCGACGCTACAATATGAGAGGATATCGCGATGGCTAACCCTGATTCAGCCGTATCCAGTGACTGTTACCACCACCAAGAAGTAAGTCTACTCAGCCGTCCTGTCTCGACCAGGCGTCGGGCAGTTCTGCGTTTGCGAGTTCCAAAGTCCCTCCTGCCACCGATGAAAGCCCATCTACTCTTATCTTGACCAGCGGCTGACTTTGTACAGTTGTGTGCCGAAACCTGTCGACGGTGCTCGCCCGACGCCAGTAGAAAGTGCAGGCTACGGCTACGGGCCTCCGGACGTCGGCGACGACCAGTATTGTGACACGATAACAGCCACGGAGTGGAAGACAGTCACGGCTACTAACGCTGTTACGGTCGTGCAGCCATCGGTCGTCACAGAGACGGTGCTCGTGCCAACTGTCTCGGTGGTGCCAACTACAATCGAGGACACACGGACGGTCACCGTCACTGCGCCAGGGGAGGCGACGACCATTACGCTCCCGGGAGAGATATATACATTGCCTGAGAAGACGGTAGTTCTCCCCGGGTCGATAACGGTATCGACTCTGACCAGAGAGATTCCGGCTACCACAATCACCGTGACCGAAGATGGACAGACTTTTATAACCACACTTCCAGGGAGCACGGTCACTCTGCCAGGAGAGACCATCAACCTCCCGGGAGAGACGAGGACCCTCCCAGCGGAGACTGTGGTCCTGCCCGGCTCTACAAGCGTTTCGACTCTCACAAAAGAGCTCCCAGGCACTACGGTCACCGTGGTCGAGGGCGGCACAACTTTCACAGTCTCTCTTCCCGTTGGAACGAGAACTCTTCCCGGAGCAACAGTTGTATCAACCCAGACCCAAGTGCTCCCGGGCGAGACGATTACAGTAACTCAGAACGGCAGGACCTTTACCACTTCGCTGCCTGGACAGACAGTGATAAACACCGTTACCGACCAACTCCCAGGAGAAACAATCACGGTTACTCAGAGTGGCAGGGTCTTCACAGTCAACCGTCCAGGAGAGACAGAGACCCTGCCTGCCTCGACCGTGGTGGCGACCATCACCCAGGTGCTTCCGGGCCAGACCATAACGGTGACTCAGGGCGGCAGCACGCTCGTGAGAACGCTCCCGGGAGAGACGGTTGTATCAACCGTAACAGAGGAGCTTCCAGGCCAGACGGTCACGGTCACGCAAGGCGGATCCACCTTCACCACCTCGCTCCCAGGTCGAACAGTCACGTTGACTGAGAGCGGCAAGACGTTGACGACGACGCTCCCGGGCAAGACGTTGACGTTGACCCAGGGCGGCACAACTATCAGGACCACGCTTTCTGGCGCAACCGCCGTCATCCCGACTACTGTTGTCTTGGCTCCTAGCAGCGTCCCCGCTCCAGCGGGAACCACAGTGACAAAGACGGTGCAAGACATTTCAGTCTGCCCTTCGCCGACCGGCAGCTCGGCCCCGCTCTCGCCTGACTCGGACCTGACCTTCGGCTGCAAGCCGGGATACGTCTGCAGCCCGCCCAAGCCGGACGGCTGCAATGTCTGGCCGGGCCCACCATCGGACGACTTTCTGTGCAGCCCCCAAGACTGCATCTCTTCGCCACCTATCCGGAACGTTACCTGGGAAGATGGTGAATCTAGCTACTTCCCTCTGTCAGAAGGCTACTTCAACCTAAATCCAGAGGCCTTTGGCCTGTCCTATGACATTTTCACCTTCGAGGTTTATGAAGAGGTCGAGTACGGCTACACCAGGACAATCACGACTGGCAACTGGGGGTCTCAGACAAGCCTTTCGGACTGGCCTCGCACAACTGCAACATCCACTCGGGCCAAGAACGTGTATCCGCTGCCGCCCAGCTCCCGGCGCGGCCGTCGGGCCCTGCACAGGCTGGGCAAGCGAGCCACCACTCCCCATGTGTGTTTTGACCAGTGCAACGATGCCTGGCTGATTGGCGGATCTGTGGGAAAAAGTGACAAGCTCTGCAAGAAAGGATCTTCGTTCCGAAGCGGGTATGATGCGTGCGCCGAGTGCGTCACGGCCAACAGCGACGCCAGCAAGAACACGATCCGTGAGTACGTGGGGCCTGTCTTCAGTCAGTATTTCAAATATTGCTCCGGCCATGAGGCGACGCCTGTCCGGCTGGCGACGGCGCCGGTCGCGGAGAGCGTCGTCACTGCTCAGCCATTGGTGAAGATAAGCAGCCAGGCGGAGACGAGCCAGGCCAGCTTTGTCCCGATGGAGTCGGTGAGCTCGCAGCCGGTGGAGAACAACAGCCAGGCCAACACTGTCTCGGTTGAGTTGGCGACCTCGATATCGGTTGGAACGAAGTCAGCAAGTGCCGTGGCTACCGCGCCGGAGGCATCCAGTGCCGCAGAGACGGCTTCATCCCGATCAGAAGCCACTGAAGCGTCACCATTGCCAACGTCGTCAGAGGCCGCTTCTACCGCTGTCCAGTCCTCGGGTCAACAGGATGGTTCGTCGACGGGCGCCGTAACCTCTGCAGCAGTAACCACTTCGGACCAGGACCAACAGCAGACGGGACCGGCGAGTTCTCCGCCCTCTGCTTCAGCAACGACGAATCAAGACCAACAACAGACCAGTCTCTTGACGAAGTCTGCTCTGAACACCGCTGTAGAATCCTCCTCGGACGAACGGCGGACCGGCTCGCCAATGAGATCCGGGCCCTCTGCAACCGGAACGACGTCCAGGCCGTCGTCGCTGACAGCAACGTTGTATCCCACTGACATTTCCGGCTCCTCCGGGTCTGCGCCAACGCCCACTTTGCAGAGCGCGAGTGGCAGAGGCGGGAGTGGCAGCGGAAGCGTCAGCAGCGACGGTGGCAGCGACGAAAGCGATGCAACGGTCACCAGTGCTGAGACGACGCCCACGCAGGGTAGCATCAGCGGAGAGCCTGGGAAGTCATCCGAGGCCACCAAGGCCTCGGGCTCGGAAGCTAGCGGAAGCGAATCCTCATCGACAACGAGCCGGCCTGCGGCCGTGACCGGGGCGGCTCCTCGTCTCGCCGCCGATGGTGTCACCATGCCGGCCATCTTGTCCGTCTTGATGGCCTTGCTCCTTTAGTGTTGGCGCTCTCCGCTGTACCCTCTTGTTTGAAACACTAATTTGTTTCTGCAATGGCCGCCATTGTTGACGAGTCGAAGCTCGGCTGTTTATTCATGCTCACCTGGGGTACGAGAGCACGCGAATGACTGATGGTTATGAAAAAGCATCCGCTCGTTAATGGCAACCCTTCCATCTCTCTCTTTTGCTGGGCAGCTCTGCGAAAGCTCGGAAGATACCCTTGTTGTCCCTCTTTTGTTTGACGCTCACGAATGGAAATACAATGCTGCAAACGGCCTGACTCTATGATCATTCTAGTACAAGGCTTCGAGGGAAGGGAACTAATGTGTTGGATCTGTAATGTGTTTTGTTCGGACGGCATTGGTGTACACGTCTTCTGTCTCCATACCTGCGGAGTCAAAGCTCGCGTTACCCGTTTAATATCTTGACTCTTTACCTTTCGTCTTGTGTGTGTGTCTTCCTTTGCCAGTTCATGGGCGTCGTTTTCTCTGTTCTGACCCTATTGTGTTCCTATTCACACCCCGTTATGTAGGCACCCGTGTCCAGCCGTTTACGCACATGAATTTCTATCCCGACTTTCACAGCCAACTCGGTGCCGCGTTTGCCGTCTGGCAGGCAGCTGTCGAGACTGACGGACCAGTTCCTCGGATATAAATTTCCTGCCGTGGTCCCCACCCCCTCTTTCCGACATCTAGTTTGGGTCGACTCGGGCAGCATAAAAAAGCCACGATGTCTTGACACGACCTACACATACATGGCAGCAGTCCTGCAAGACGCTCGAAAATTTCATTGGCCTGGGGGGCTTTACGACTAGGCAACACTGGCAATACTGGCAACACTGGCAAGAACAAAACCAGGTCACGACCAGCGCGCGTTACGGAGGCTGACTCCCACCGCACGACCATGATCAAAGATGGAGCGCATTTTGCCGTTCCCAGAGGTCATGCGCCGAGCACTCGTCGAAGAAGAATTGTACACGATCCTGGACCTCAACGACGGCAACGTCAGCCGCGTCGTGTCCAATATGCCGAACAAGCATTGCCTTACCGGACCACACCTTGGCACCCTGGACCGGCCATTCGACACAGACAAGTTCACACTTGGAACAGGCCGCTCTACCCCAGGCGCATGCAGTTTCTTGGGCTCGACACACACGGCATAGCGGCCCTTGCAGTATGTCCCGACAAGAGTCTTTGGACGAGCCTCGGACCTATGGAAAGGCTCGAGCCGCGTCTGCTACGGGAAATTCGACCTCGCCGTGTTCGCGCGGCACACAGACACAAGGTCCTGGCTCCGTCGGTCCGTTGACAACGGAGAGGGGATCGTGGTCGCCAAGAACCCGTGGATGACATCATGACCCAACCAGCGCGACAATCGACGTCATCAACGTCCTGCTCTCTTACCTGGCCACAGCGTATCGCCTCATGCTAGACAATCAAGGCGTTTTTCTGCGGCAAGCGAAGGGACGAGGGCAGGACCGGAGGCGACGCGGGTCTCGCCACGTGGACTGGTCCCCTGCGACTTTGCTGATTCGAGTCACCAAAAGCCGCCGAAGCTCCATCGATTGCTATCCATGGCGAGACGACGTCTTGAAGACGCGAATCGGCACGACAACAACTCCAACGTTCTGGGGATACGTGACACCGTCCCTGCTCGATCAGTCTGAGCACCAGAATGAGAAGGACCAACCGCAGTCGACCCTTACTGAACTCGATCGAGAAATAGGCCCCATCGTCTCATCCAGTAGCCTCAGCTCACGCACCAAATCTGCTTTGCCGAGTCGCATGGTCAGGCCACCTTGAGATATCAGCTCGACAGACACGACTGGCCCTTTTGTTAAGGGTCATGGTCACCTCACAGCAACACAGGAATGCCCATTCGAGAGAGATATCTTCAGACAGAGGTTGCTGCAACATGGAGCGTTCCTCGTCGAGGACCTGACTTGGAAATACAAGGCCAGGTTGGGTTTGAGGTCCAGCCGTTAGTCGAGTTTCGACGCCAGCTCTCCGGCTGCGTAGGCTCGGGTGCGGCGTATCTACCCACATGGAAATCTCACTCTTCTGCCAGGGAGGCCCCGAACCGCCCAGGCTCCATACCGAGCACTTTCGCCAAGTCGACGGCTCAACACGGTTTATAGCGGTTCAATGCAGAGGTGAATGGCGTCTTTGAGACGTGCCACCCGGATGCGCCGACTGCCACTACACGAGCCGAAGCAGCCGTCTGCTCAAACTCCGCAGTCCGGCCGAGGACGATTATGCCCAATGTCATGGTCGTTGGAAAAAACATGCAAGCCAATCAAGAGTAGGGAATCACCACCCGACAGGAGACGGCAGATGAACAATTTTCCAGCTCATCCAGCGCCTTACACAGAGCGAGGCCGCTTTCTCCATCGCAGTTCGCGAAAAATTGCCTGGAGTTCGTGGAAATCCATCCGTTTCAGGAAGGGAACGGAAGAATGTGCAGGACGATCCTAAATGCGATCTTGTGTCGCTACACTGGAGTCATGGTGCCAATCAGCGAGCTTGGGGAAGAGAGGATTGAGTACCAGGACTATCTGCGGACAGACACAGCACCGAGTACATGTTTCACCATTACGGGGCAATTGAACCGCAATTCGAGGATGTAATCTAGGGGATGGCGACTCTGACGACGAGGACAACACCGAGGGTGGCCCTGGCCCCGAGGATTGAAAGGGACGCTGGATATATAAAGGAGAGATCACAAGACGGAGGAAGAATCGACCCACTGGTCCGTTTTCTTTTCGGATGGGGGACTTGTTGTGAGCCAGTCTGTCGAGTGCTCTCGTATTCAGCTTTGATCAGAGAGTTGGCCAGATGAGATGAACTCGTTACTCAGGGTCAATGCCCTGGAGCTCAAGCTCAAGCGGGACGTTCGAGAGGTCGCCTAACGATTCATTGGACACGTCAGCGACAAGCTGGTTACAAGCACCAAGACTGGGTCTTGCCGGTCTTGCCGGTCCCCTAGCCCTCGCTCCCCAAGCCGAGTTGCCTGCGCCAGGGCAGCCTCCATGTCCTGAGCCTGCCGCGTCTGGAGGCGCTAGATGAGGCGGGTGCTTGGCCCGGTGAGGTCGATGTCTGTCGCATCCGTGCTGGCCAGGGCGAGCCGGCCGTTGATCATCATGGGCGCTTTTGCCACGGCCCGACTGCCCGGGATGAGCTCGGGGTGCCGGCAAGACCAGCAAGGCTCCTCCGAGGAAGACATGGTCAAGCCCATGATGGTGGCCCCGGCCAATACGCCAGACGAAATCGCTCGGCGCCGGCAGAGATAGGACCGCAACTGCCTGAGGCCGACGTGGCAGGCGTGGCGCTTGGCCATCACACGGTGGATTCCAATCGTGTTTCTATAACACCAGAGAGTCTCCTCGTCATCTAGCCCTCGCAACCGGTTCGAGCGCACAGTCAGGATCCAGAACACCTGGCTCTTCTCTGTACCCTAGCTAGAGACGCCAGACCCGTCTGTATACGAGGCACACCCAACGCCTGGATAGCTAAGAAGCACAAGCTTTATACTTCCCACTACTCGGACAGCACTATTTGCGACTGTCCAGCGTCCAACAGATATAGTGAGCATCTCGACGTATTCATGGCTAACCCCGATAGGTCTGACTGACGTCCGGCATCCCTAACAGCTACAGACAGAAGGTGTATAGAGTCTTTTACGCAACTCCTCCTTGAAGCCCCCGAGTAAACACACCTCGGCTCCCGGGGCAACGCTGCAGCAGCTGCCAAAGACTGGCAGCCAACCACACGCAGCCAGCCGCCCTCCATCTCTTCACTCACATTTTCCTCTCACCTCTCTTCCATCGCCCGCTGTCACGCAGAAGCCAGATCAACAGCAACGCGGCAAGTCTGATTCAGCGCCACGAGCCACCTTGCAGCTGTGTTAACAAGATCACCAGCGCCCGCTTCTGAGTCTTTCCACAACGAGCATACCAAGAGCGCCAGTGGCAAAGTCAACAACATGCCTGGACAGCAGCAAAGTCTTTGGTATCAACTATTCGCCCTCAAACACAGCTTGTGGAGGGCTCGAGTCGACACCGAGAGCCTTCGCGCCTGCGAGCAATACATCAACACCGACGACGCTCAAAGGGTGTTCATGGTGACGCGAATGAAGAGGCGGATCCAGGCCGGGTTGTACGTTGCCGTTTGACGTCGTCGTCGTCGGCGACTCTTCGCTCACGGATGCGGTGGCAGTCTCGCTTTCCAAGGGTACCCAAACCTCTTTCTGGGCCAGCTCGACGGCCTCGACGATGCGGACCAGGTTCTTGAACAGCTCGCCGCCCTGGAGGCTGTAGTCGGCATTCTTTCCCCGGAAAAGATTATCGAGGTGCTCCGTGTCCCGGAAGATAGAGGCCGCAGCACCCCGCTCGACAGTGCTGAGTATGGTCGTTCGGGAATCGCTGGCCGAGGAGGCGAAGATGGATCTCCCGGGTATGAGATTCGGCCTCCATCACGGCTTCTGCTGGTCATGGACATGCCGCGTTATTCGCCTTGAGAATCCGCCGGCATTGCGCGCTGTGCCCTGCTAATGCCTCGCCAAAGGCAGCGTAGTGACCAGTCCGTCGACTCGGCCCTGTGGGAAGAGATTCGACGTCAAAGAGCCGCCATCAACAACCTGCAGCGGCAGCTCTCCGAGCTCATCTGCATCACCCGAGACAACGGGGGGAAGCCAGACAAACTGCTCGAGTCCGGCAACAAGGTCCATCCTGGACTCTAGCCAAAACCCAAGGCGATGGATTGGGGCGGTTAGATGGCGCTGAGCCATGTGCTCGGCCGGCAACCATGTCGACACTACGATCCTCAGCATGGCATGGAAGGGCATGGTGGCTAGCCCCCCTTGGGCGATGAGCGGCGCCGGCTATGTGGGTATCTTCATCGTCTCCTGCAAGCCGAGCGATACTGACTCTGCGATAACCAGCCGCCTCTGCTCATCATGTACGAAAGATATCGGACTGGATCATGGGACTTTGTCACACTGCGGTTCTGACGGGGCCTGGCGTGTATGAAGAAAGTGAAGTGGCAACACAGACAGCAGATCAACAGAGAAAATGGCCTTGTGAGATGGACCAACCGTGAGCAGTTCCTCGCGTTGTGGTGACATGAAGGCGTGTCCCGCGCATGATGTCAACACCTACGATTGCATGCCATTGCTCGTCATGGCCCGGTGCGGATACTTTGCCGGCTTGGCTTTCGTCTCCTCTCCGTGAATGTTATTGCGGGCTACTGGCATAACCATCTCGCCAACACCGCCATCCTCTCATCGGGAAACGTAACGCTGCGGCGGCAGAAAGCACACGCACTCTCACGCTGCAAAGCAGACAATGGCAAGAAGCCGTCCTCACATAAAACTCCATCCCGGTACCGCCGCCACTGGAGAAGCGGGAAAAGACACAACCGAAGCGCCCTGTCCATGCAGCCGTCTCCAAGCCCAACGCGGGCATCGCCACGCTATATACACCCGTCCCGTCTGTCCTTGTCCCGAACGGTTCCATTACTCGGCAGAGAGTCCTTCGAGCACATTCATGGCCCTCGTGCCCTCGCGCTCGAACTTGCTGACCATGGTCTCGCACTCGTGCTTGAGCTTCTTCTCCGCCTCGCCCGCGTTGAAGTAGATCCACTCCTCCACCGTCATGCCCTTCTCGGGGCTCGTCAGCTCTTTGCCCTTCTTGAGCATGCGCCCCACCGTGTTCTCCTTGTCCGCGCCGGCCTCGGGAGTTCCCAGCACGGCCTCGAGGTTGACTGCCGTCCAGGGGGTCGAGCTCTCCAGTCCCGCAAGCACGTTGCGCTTCGTCGGAGAGCCGCGCATCGGCGTCGCCGTGACCGGAGCGAGGACGACCCTCTTCGCCGAAGTGCTAGCCAGCGGTTTGGACGAAGGAGGTTGGTTTTCCGCATCGGATGATTGCGGCGATGGAGAAGGCGACAAAGCAGCTTGTCTCGCCGAAGGTGCTGGTGAAATAACCTTGGCCGGCGTGGACCGAGGCTCAGTCAAGTGCTGGGTGGCAGGCTCGGTCGGCGGCGGCATATTCTGCTCTTTGGCGACGGATAGGCTGCTCCGCTCTTCTTCGAGCTGCATCGCTTCTACACCCTCAGTCGCATCGGCCAGGTCATCTGCTTCTGCCTGTGCTTCATCGACTGCCATGACGGGTTGAGGCGGTAGTGCTTCCACTGATTCTTTTGCCTTCTTGGACCGCCTTCCGCGTCCGCTCTCGTTGTCGGCGACGGAGGCTTGCGATGCCGGAGATGACTTAGATGGGCGGCCACGTGTTCCCTTTGCTGGCTGATCAGCGGGCTCGACAGGCTCAACAGAGTTGGTAGAGACTCGAGACGCCAGTGACGCCTTGGATGGCCGACCACGTTTTCCCGTCACTGGCTGCTCGGCAGGCTCGATAAGCTGCACCGAGTGGGCAGAGGCTCGCGACGCCAAAGAAGACTTGGACGGGCGCCGACGCCCCTTCTTCGCCGGCCGTCCAGCAGCTACGGCCGGTGCGGTGGGTTCCATCAGCTTCACAGAGTCGGTAGACACTCGAGACGCCAGCGACTCCTTGGACGGACGGCCTCGACCACGTTTGGCGACTGGCTGGGGCGGAGGCGGCGCCTCTGCATCAATCGACTGTTGTGATGCCAGTGAGGCCTTGGAAGGCCTGCCCCGGCCTCTTTTAGCTGCCCCGGGCCCCCCTGACTCTGCGTCCCTCATTACCGTGTCGGTGCTCCCGACTGTCACATCATGCGGCTCCTCGACTTCCTCGCTCGGCAGCTCTGGTACTGAGGCTTCCTCTTCAGGGGGCGGCGTCGCTGCCTTTGCCGGCTTCGTCTTGGTTTGCTCAGAAGCCTTGCGCGTGGCGGCCTTGCGGCCCTTCTTGGGAACCTGCGGCTGCTCTGGCTCATCGACTTGCATCTCCGCTTGCAGAGCCAGCAGTTCCTCTTCCACGGCGGCGTCATCTGGATCGGCCTCGGCAGGATCAAACATGGCGTAGTCGCCAGAGGCCTGCAGCGCAGCATCCTCTAGATGCTTTTCCACGCCTGGCTCAGCATGATGCGCCTCGACTTGGTCGTCCTCATCCGACTCTCTAGCGAGGTCGGCTTCCAACTGGCGCTCGATCTCTTCGTCGTCCGGGAACTCGTCAACCGGTGCTCTCAGTGATGCCATGGACGCGGTAGAGACGGTCGAGAAGGCTGACACCTGTCGGCTGGTCTTTGCGCTCGATCCCGGATTCTTTCTGCGGCCCGAAGCCTTGCGAGACGGCCCGGGCGCGTCGGCAATCTCGCTATCGTCGGCAATGACGGTCGAGGCATCGGTGACGGTGCTGCTTCGAGGCCGTGTCGTTCGTTTCTTAGTCACTGGCGCTTCCGAAATCGACATGCTTGCGTCGTCGACGGCCTCGCTGCCGCGCTTCTTGCCACGCGTAGACTTTGCTGGCTTCGGAGGCGGTGCAACTTCTTCGTGTTCGTTGGCATCTTCGGTTTCCGCAGGCTCGTTCTTCTTGGCTTTGCTCCGGCTGCCCTTGGCGGCCGCGCCCTTTTTGCCCTTTGCTTTCCTTCCCCCCTGAGACATGGTAGAGCTCGTGGTGACGATACTATCGTCACCTACCGCGGTTGTATCTCCAGTTGACAGTGTCTCTGAGGCGACCGATTGAACCGACAGCCGAGAGGCCTTTGAGCCGCGACTGGCCTTGGCTCGGCTCGTCTTCTTTCTGGTGCCGTCGAATTTCTTGACAAGGACAAAGAAGGCGCACTCTGGTGATCGATTGTAATGCTCGTCGCTTCCCAGGGGTCAGCATGGAAAGTCAATGGGCGGCGGATCCATGGCGCAGACTCACTATGGCTTATCCCCAGGTTCCCATCCATCAAGCGCCAGGTCGCAGTAAGTGCACGTTGCCATGTCGTCAGATTCGGCAGTAGGCGTGTATTTCCATCCAGAGTCGGCGAGCTGGAAGAGTCAGCAGAGGGAAGCCGCGGCGGACGGACCCGACTCACCTGCTTGGTCTTGCACTTCCATCCCTTCTTGCCCTCGTGGGGCCACATGCCCGCAAACGTGGCCTTGCGCGCCTCGATCATGTCGGGCGAGCTGGGGTCCTGTTGGGCGTAGTCGGCCACTTCGGCTTGGACGGCAGCCACGACAGCCCAGCCGCAGTGGGACGCGTGCTTGAGATGTTCCAGGAGCGGGTCGTCGCCCGCCTCCCAGCCGTCGAGGCCTTTGCCGCATAGAAAACAGGTGACATTGTCAGGGAAGGCGGGGGTCGGATTGAAGTAGAAGCCTGCGTTGGCGAGCTGCCCAAGGCGCCGTCAGTGGAGAGAGCGACAGAGGCAAGCAAGGGAGGCAGCGTACGCTTGCCGGCGCGATCTGCTTGTGCGGCCAGGTGAGCGCCTTGCCACGGCCGCTGGCAGTCGAGCCTCTCTTCTTTGTGTTCTTCTGAAACGAGGCAAGGCGGGCCTCGTAGGCGATGTACGGATTGATCTCGTCGGCGGCCATGGCGGCTGATGCGCGTCGGAGTTGGGGATCGGCGTGCTGCGCTGATGGAGGTGGTGGGAATTGTTGGACGCGACAGACGCGACGCGACAACCGGAGACGATTTAGGATAGCATGTAAAGCATGTCGAGATGGGCGGATGCGAGCGACGGCGGGAGAGTCGGAAGAGTGAGAATGGCTCTGAGGGAGGCCGATTTGCAGGCTTGAACGGGTGCGGCGACGAAGGGTTGTTGAGGGTCGGGTAATAATGTTAAAGCTGCGACGAGGCGCGTTTGTTTACTTTGGGATTTATGTGGGGCGGAGCTGGATAAGCCACCGGGGTCTTGGAACGCCGCCAGCGTGGGTCTTTAATATTCGGGTGTCTCTTCCTCATAAAGATGATTGATATGACGGGGAGATAGCTTGATAGGTACAAGGTGGTTCTCGATCATGTTTGAATGTTTGTCCAAAGTCCAAGCACCGAGCCACGTAGAAAAAATATGTGCGGGCGGCATCTGCAGAACGGGGCACGGCCTCAGAGCTGTCGAGAGCGAACTCGTCTGCCTTGACGTCATGGCGGAGGCCATAGAGGACCTTGAACAATGCAAATGACTGTGTCGCCCTTGTCTGTAGCATGATGCATCGTCATGTCCACAGGGCGGCTGCACGGTATGCTGATCTGATGCCATGCCCGGGCCAGGCCACACGGCCGGCCCCTTTGGTGTTTGGACACCACCTGTTGGCAGTATGACGGACCCCTTACAGCTTCCCTGCATCCTTCAGGGCCTTCTCGCCGTCGACGAGCACGCACCAGCCCTCGCTGCCGCGGCCGCCGTCGCCGTACACGACCGACTCAAAGGCCCCCTCGGCGAGGGCAAACTCGAGGACGGCCTCGTCAAAGGTGCCGGGCTGCATCCAAACCGCCGGAATGCCCAGCTTCTTGGCCTCCTCCAGCACCCCGAGGGTGGCGCCCGGGGGAGTGATGATGGACACGGACGTCTGCCTGGGGTTGGGCAGGGCCGAGAGGTTGGGGACTGTCGCATAGTCCTTGCCCTTGACCGTCACATGCGGCGAGCCCGGGTTGACGGGCGAGACGTCGAGGCCGTGGACGAGATACCAAGCGTGGACCGTAGGGCCGTCAATGGGATGAAGCTCGGCCGTGGTTTACTCGCGCGCACCTTTGTGGCCAAACTTGGCCGGGTTGGAGCTCGCTCCGACAACGGCGAAGAGGGGCGAGGCGAAGAACTTGCGAGCCGTAGCCTCGGTAGCCATGGCGTCTTGGTGTAGATGCAGAAGCCTGGTGACCTCTTGTTGCTCTCGGATGAGGTCGCTAACGGACGAGAAGTGACGATTGCCGGCCACGCTGGATGCTTCAGACCCCGTTGATTGCGCCCGGGCGAGGGAATCGGTTCCCCTCTCTTCTTCCGAAACAGCCTCGTCTCCGCTGCCAGCCTTACATCGGGACCCGGAGGAAAATGCGCAACTGGCTCCAGCGCTCCGGCCAATCGCGCGACCGCGGGTGAGCCGGGTAAGCCCCGCGTACCCGCTGCTGTGCGTCGCGCGGCTGGGTGAGCCAGGCATCTCTGTAACTTACGGAGGAAGCTTTTAAGAGTCGTATCCCGCGCTAAAGCAACCCCTGTAAGGAAAAGAACGAGCGTACCGAATTTCTATTACTGTATGTTATTTCTTACTAATACCATATTATGCTGTCTCCCCTTCTCTCTTTATCATTATTTCCGCTTTCTATATACTAAGTCTAAGAGTCTTGGCCCAGAAGGGCAGAAGCAGTGGTCGCGCTACTAGACCCCCCTTGCCACACGGCGTGGGTGCGCACAATGCAGTAAAAGGGAACGGAATTGACTAAGCGATAGCTTCGTTAATTGACCACACATAAGAACGTTTGGTCCAACAACCAAACAACCAACCAAGGGCCCTAGCCCCGTGACACTAAAATAAGGAATTAGTTCTATCTAGGCTTATATCTCCTTATAGGCTAGCTTTTCTAGGCTTGCTTTATCTTTTTAGATAATTATTCTAGAATATCTTTCTTATATTCCTTTATAAAGGGAAGTAGATATAGGGGGTTCGTTATATAGTTAACCACGACAACGCTCTACGGCTCTCTTCATCTAAGCGTTATCTTCCAAGTACCAATATTCGTGGTCATAACTCAGCATTATATAAAGCACGTCTCGTTCCGGGCGAATCCGGTGCTCATATGCCTTCTCATTACTCCAAGTCCGAATTCCGCTCTCTCCACCATTCGAGTCTACCGCATCATACAGGACGAGATTACCATGAAGGAGGCCACCGAGGCCAGTATTATATTTACAGTGACCACGGCTTTTCTGGCACCCTGTATATACTAGATAATCAGAGCCAAGCCACGAGAAGCTTCGCGTAGGCGAACTTGGGGTTTGATTCCCACAGCATATCTCTTCTTAGTTACCGGACTGGTATTCGCCGCTTTGTTCGGCAGTGCGAGAAATGCACTCCTACTAAGCGTCCTTGCCTACCACTCCTTCACAGCCTGGAAAGGGGTCATCATGTAATACGTCGAGATCATCGAGGTATCCCCCATTCAGGCCCGGCCTAGTTATAACTTATCTCTCCGATATACTCATGGTTTATAGCTTATTCAATTTGTCGATCCCTTGATTGACGCCTATTTTTCTCACCCCGTCAATCAGACGAGAGCCATCATTTTTGGACTAGTATCAGTTTTTCACCTTGCCTTGACGCCGTACTTTTCCTGTAGCAAATCGATTGCCATACTGCCCAAATGCCCCAGTGTCCCTGCATTTGCAATCCTCGTCACAGTCATGTCAACCCCCATCACTTGATGCCACCAGTTGCTGACTTCGACGCTGACTAACGAGTCGAGGCCCAAGGAGCTTATGCTCATGCTGGGATCCAGGTCCTCGGCCGGACGGACTAGGAAGCCGCATATTGTGCGCCCAATCTCTCCCGTCACGAGTTCGAGGCTGGCAGGGTCGTGAAGCACCCGAGCGTCTGATGCAACCAAGTTGACGAGATCTCGGATGCCCCCGGTCTCTTTGGCCTCGCCAGTTGCATCCTCTTGAGGGTGGAGCAAGTAATACTTGCCCATGCGAAAGTCCCGCTTCCAAGTAATACGATTGTCCGTATGCAACAAGGGCTTTGGCGAGTTCAACCCGAGGACAAGCTCGCGCAAGCAACTATACGTTTTTGCCTTGGTCGAAATGGCCGTCCAGTCACTCCTCCCCGGCTGAGATTGGCTGATGGCCACCTGAATAGAGTCCATCATTTGCTGTTCCTGCACCGTGTAAAAGTCCTTGTCCCGTAGAGAGTCGAGTAGCGCGGGCCGCTGGGCGGCGTAGCCTATCCCCTTCATGAGCCCGACGTCGATGACGGAGCATGGCAGCTTCAGACGGTGGCGGTACTGCACAAACGAGTCCTGGAATGCGTTTGCGGCTGCGTAGTTGGCCTGTCCGACAAAGCCACCTGTCGAGCTCGTCGAGCCGAGGAGGATGAAAAAGTCGAGTTTGGTGCCCAAGAGGGCTTGGTGGAGATTCCAAGTTCCTTCAACTTTGGGGTCCTGCACCGCAGTCCAGTCTTGGTAAGTCATCTGGGAAAGAAGCTTGTCCTAATCATTCTTTTCATTAGCTTCTTTACCCCTCTTCTGTCCTCAAAGTGCCCATCATTACCTTGAGGACCATGCACATCTGGAAAAGGCCGGCAATGGGAGAAGGCGCAGCCTCCACGGCCCGTTTCACATCAGCCAAGCTGGCAACATTGCCAGTTACGGCAACTGCTCGGCAGCCCTGGGACTCTAGTTCTCGCAAAACTCCTGGTCCTCGGACGAGGCTCCGGCAGAGCGAGAGAGAAAGACGAAATGTCTAGCTCCGTGCTCCACGGCCCACGTTGCAATTGCTTTGCCTAGGCCTCCCAAGCCTCCCGCAAGAAGATATGTGGACTGATCTGACAGTGATGGGCTCCAGTAAGTCGTCTTGGCTGGGAGGGGACTCTTGTCCTTGGACACAGAGATGATAATCTTTCCAATGTGCTGCCCGCTTTGCATGTAGCGAAATGCATCAGCTATGTTATGAGCCGGGAACACATGGCGCGGTATAGGCTTGAGGTGGCCTTGCTGGTAGTATTCGACCAAGGCCTCCATGGTTCTACAATGACGGAAAAGGTCAGCCAGCCAGTTGCCAAGACTGTTGTTTGCTTCATCATATCTGTGGAGTCTCACCTTTGGATGAGGTCAGGGCGGTCATTTTTTAACAGGTCCCTATCCACACCGTGAAAAGACCGATTCTCGAGGAACGGGTGGAGAGCTAGAGAGCCGTGACCGATCAAGTCGGACTTGCCAATCTCCACCATCTTTCCGTGTTTAGCAACGCACTGCCAAGAGGCATGTAGTAAGTCTCCAGACCGAGAATTGAGCACCACGTCGACGCCGCGGCCGTCGGTGGCTCGTAGCACGCCTCCAAGGAAGCTCGTGTCGCGGGAGGAGAAGATTTTGTCTCGGGGAGTCCCGCAGTTGACGACTAGATACTGGACCTTTTCGTCGCTCCCGGTAGTGCAATATATCTATCGACATGTTTCAAAGGTTTGAACTCTGTCAGCGAATCAAGACATGAATTGACAAGAAACGATATTACCTCGAGCTCCAGCATTCGGCAAACTTGGAGAGCAGCAAGACCAACGCCTCCACAAGCCGAGTGAATCAAGATGGACTATTGAGTCGAGGCGCGTTAGTGTTCCATAACAAGCGCTGTGGCATTGAACATGATAATCACCTGTCCCTTTGACATGTGCCCGACGTTGAAGACGCAGTAGATTGCCGTCATGGTAGCAACGGGGAGGCTGGCAGCGTCCTCCAAGCTCATGCCGTCAGGCACGCGAACAACTTGGCGACCGGGCATTCTCAGTTGTGTTGCAAAGCAACCATCACCATAAGCCATGACGCTGTCTGCGACTTTGACGTGGCGGACCGACGATCCGACGCGAGTGATGATGCCTGAAGCCTCGCCGCCCAATGTGGCTTCCAAGGGCGCTAGCATGCCCATGGCATTAAGGAGGTCCTGAATAAAAACAATCATCAGCACTGAGCGCCCCGCGGGGATTCCTAATGGCCGTTATACATGCCCTAAAGTTCAACCCCACGCAGCCAACTTCAACCTCCAGCTCGTCGTCTGCTAAAGGCTTTGATTCCGAATTGCATCGACGCCAACCAAGAGTATCTAATAATCCTGCCTGGCCAATCTCCAGGCACATTGGGCCATCATCGTCGACAGGAGCCTCCAGCTCGTCAGACAGTTGAAACCAGTCGTAGCGGCCAACGTAGACGACCTTGTCGTGAACGGCAAATTCCCGGTCCGCATTGTAAAGCTCAAAGTTGACCTGTTCCTGGATCTTGTTAAAGACGGCCAAGACAAGGGGAAGGACATTGGGGTCAAGTGTCTGCAATTCCAACGTCGAAAACTTTGACCAAACCTCGTTCCGTATTACTCGGGCCGCTCCAATTGTCATTCCGTAGTGAGGGTCGGCGCATTCAATCTGGGCCGGCCGGGTGAGCCAGAAAAGACCGCCCTGGATTTTCGAAATATAGGCTACCAACGCCTCGAAATCGGCCTCGGACATGTCGTGGAAGAAGGGGGTTTCCAAGTCAATGCAGGAAACAACATTCCGACCAAAATCCTGGTTTGTGTCGCCGAGATTGGCCCAGGAAACTGCGAAACCTTCATCTTGGAAAACACGTGATAGAGCGAGTCCAAATTCTGGCCTCTTCTTGTTGCATAGAAATGTGACTTGTCGGTCCCAGCTCCCTGCGTGCGCCGTAGTTGCAACTATGACGGCGGTTCTCTGATGCGATTCGTCGTCATCCAGCATGACCGAATCCGTCCTCGAAAAGCCTGCGTCGCTGAGCTCTCTATCCCAACGCTCTAACGAGATAAACCTTTCCGTTGATTGACCGTCAACCTCTCGAGCCCACCAACTAGGCAAAAAGCCCTATAATGGAGAGAGGAGATTAGTTGAACGAAATACCCATGGTTTACAAGAAACCCATCAAAACATGTCATTTCTATGATGGGTCCATGAACAATGGACGTACCATTACCAGAGGGATGGCCCGTAACTTGACGGCTGGTTTCCAACATGATTAATCCTGCTGCAAACACGACATGTGGAGGAAGCTTACTTGTCACCAACTCCTGGACTAACAGCCTGCCTCTCGGTGCCAGAAGAGAATGAAGACTGCGCAGCGTTTCGCCGAGCTTCGGGGTGGCGTAAAGAGTCTGGAGTGAAACGAGTCAGCGTCGAGGTACTCGGCCTTGAATGTCTTTTCCCTTTCGTCTTACGTTTGAAACAATTACTAAGTCGTAAGAGGCACGTTTGAGTCCCTGTTGAGTCGCATCCCTGGAAAGATCCAACATTTTAAAGTCCATGGCCGGATAACGCTTGAATCTCTCCTCAGCTGCGGCCAAGATGCCGGCCGAGATGTCGCTCAAGGTGTAGTGTAAATACAGTCGAGTTCCGCCTCCGTCTTTTGACCCGAGGGCTTTCAAGACATTCTCCGTAGTCCCTGTGCCAGCTCCGACTTGGAGCACCCTCAGGGCCGGCCTCGCATGGGAGTATAGAGACAGAAACTCGTCCAAGTTGGCCGTGCCGCCGGCCAGGTTGTATGTGTTCCTGTCAGGACAAGGAAGGGCCTATAATACGCGTTAGTAACACCTCTATTGGGGGTGCCCTCATTTTGCATGGTGTAGCGGTATTTTACCAGCTTGACAGTTCCCCAGCCCATCCTGCTCGGTCAGAATCTCGATTGGGTCGAGAACTCCTCGGAAAATGTCCCTACTCGCCCTAAACAGTCTGCGGCCAAGGTTGGCCACGGTTGACATGTCGTCTCCCATAGCTTCAAGCTGCCGGCCCAGGGAATCAAAGACGTTGGCTCGCTCCTCAACACCTAGAGATGCCCAATATTTCGCTTCAGGAACGAGATGATCCGAATCATCGCGTATCATGGCTTCCTTTTCACTTCGAATCCATGCAGCCTGCTTAGCCAGGCAACCGGCCCATTGGTTGCTGCGGCTATGAATAGCTGCATGCACCCATCAATGGCCGTGGGATGAACCGAGGAATGTGCGGCCTCGTCGTCGTAGTGGCTTGCAACGCTGGCTCTTGCTTCGGGCTGCGTTGGGCTGGCAGAAATATCCCGCAGGACCTGGAAGCGCGGCCCGAACTGAAAGCCGGTGCGATGCACTTGGTTATACCAGCGCTGTCCATCAACTTTACGGGTATATGGAGGAGCCGTGCTGCTCCCCGCCGGAGCCGTTGAAGCATGCTCCTCGACGCCAGCTCTGCCTGGGCAATGCAGTGCTGGACCCACGACGTTCCATTGAAAGTCGAGATGCTGAATTCGTGCCACGTCGACGAGTTGGTGCTGTCACTTAGACGCAAAGGCCTCATGGTGGTCATCGTCTCAAGAGTTGCCGCTTCATCAAGCACCATGGCAGATCTGACGACGAGATTCCGCAGAGTAAACGCGTCCTGGTCTGTCACTTGTCTGATTGCCTCGCCCATCATGGCGACGTAACCAACGCACGGGAAAAGAATGTCTCCCCCAATCATGTGATCTTTGAGCCAGGAAACCTTATCGACGCGGAGCTGATTTCGCCAGAAGGGCTCCGTGTCGATGGATTCCAGTCCCCTTGACCCTAGAAGCTCGTGGTACGGATGCCGTTGATGTCTGATGGCCCTTGATAACCGGCTTTCGCTCCAATACTCTAGCTGGTGGTCCCAGGGATAGTGTGGTACGTCGACGAGAACCGGCGTCTCTGGGTTGAAGGAAAAGTTTACGGGGCATCCCTGCAAATACATTTCACCTAGGGCCGTTAACAGTGACAAGGTAGCACTCTCGTCCCTCTTCAAAGTGGCAACGTAGGGAAGGCTGTGGCTCTTTGTCTCAAAGGCAATCTGCCGGAGCGGGCCCTCCAAGGCTGAATGGGGTCCAATTTCGACGAAAAGGGGGGATTGTTGCAGAGGTTCCCGACCGAGGTGTGGAAGAGGACTGGGTTTTCAAGGTTACTCCTCCAGTAGCAAGACTCAAGTCTTGAGCCCGTCTCAACCAGCTGTCCCGTTACACTGGAGTAGAAGGGGACAGTAGTGAGGCCTTCTTTTTGGTGCCGCTGGACCATTTCCTCGTACATGGCGCCAATTTCTTGCATATGACCTGGACCAAAGATAAGTGAGCAAAATTTCGTGCAAAATTTCGTGCAAAATTTGTGTGTCGTCTTACTTGAATGATATGCAACATTGACACCCAGCCGCCGCTTAACCGTCTTGGGGTTCTTGTCACTGATGGCGGCAAGGGTCCGCTCCAGAGCATCTTCATCACCGGAGAGAGTTACGCTTCTAGGGCCATTCTCGCACGCCAAAACGACTCCATTCGCAATAAAAGGTGCCACCGCCGCTCGGCCCATGCCTACCGCTGCCATGGCACCGCGACGTTGAACATGCGTGACAGCCAGTCCGTGGTGGTATGCATTCAAGATGGCCTCTGATAGCGAGATGGCTCCGGCGGCATATGCAGCTGCAATTTCGCCACTTGAGTGGCCAGCAACGGCAGCAGGCGTGATTCCGGCCTTGGCCAAGAAATTAACGAGACCGACCTGGACAGCAGTGCAGAGAGGTTGCGAGTCCTCTGCCCTGTCCATGACTTGTCCAGCCTCGTTGGAAGAGAGGATACCCGACCACGGGGCCATCTAATATCAGCACATGGCTCTCCCCTTGGTGATATGGCTCCTATCGTGTCATGCCTATACTCACCATGAATTGACCACGACGGCGGGTCTTCCAAGCCCTGCAACGTCTCATCCATGAGTGACATGTCGTTGCAAAAGGATGAGAAGCGCAAAAGTTCCTTTGCCATGCCCGCCCATTGGACACCTTGACCGGTCAAGACAAAGACAATGCCAGGGACGTTATTAGGTATTCTTTGAGAGCCCCTAAAGTCCAAAACGGTGTCGTCGGTTCGAGTGATGCAATAGCATCTGACGGGTAAATGAGACCTACGTGATCCGAAACTGTACGCCACGGCATCCAGAGATGCTGGGTGAGACTTGATGTATCGTTGCACCTGTTCCTTTCGAGCGTGGAGCGAGTGGACACTGTCGGCCGACACCGGAATCAGCAGTGGCCAAGGCTCTGCGGCGGGCGTGTAAGCCATGTTGGAGTAACGGACCCTCATGTTGCTTGACTTGTCGATTTGTTCGGGTCCATTCACGAATCCCTCAACTTGGCCCTGGCTTGGCTGCTGCTTTCGGGGCTGGGATCCATTATACGAGGCAGCCGAGTCCAGTATAACCTGAGCGGAAAGTTGGACAGGATGCAAAGCTGCGCAATTTTCGCTCGTCTTACGTGTGCATTGGCACCGGCGATACCGAACGAATTGATACTGACTCTGGCGCCACGGTTTTTAGGCCAAGGAATGGGATCAAGCGGCACGACAAGATTTCCTTTGTCAAAGGCAACTAAAGAACAGTGCAGTCAGTTAGTCGACCTCGTTGGAGGACCAGTCGACTCACTGTCCGGGTTTGGATTCGAAAAGTTAATCTGAGGCGGTATTGTCTCGTGCTCCAAGGCAAGAATAGCCTTGATGCTGCTGCTGAGACCGGATGCGCCCTCGGAATGGCCGACATTTACCTTGACCTTTGTCGAGAATCAGTCATTTGGGGGGACCTTCTGACTACGGAGGTTTTGCTCTCACCGATCCAATATACGTCTGTCCACGCCCAAAGACGTTTGCCATGGCGTTTGTTTCAATGGGATCTCCAGTCAGTGTACCTGTGCCATGACACTCGACAAAAGGTGTTTGTGAAGGGTCCTTGATTCCGGCCGCCTCATAGGCTCGTCGCACCAATGCTTCCTGCGCTTCCGTGCTGGGACGGGCAATGCCCAAGGTCTTGCCGTCGCAGTTGCTTGCCGTTGCGCGAATGACGGCTCGGATCGAATCATTCTCTCGAATGGCATCATCCAGGAGCTTGATATAAATCGCATTAATGGCCTCCCCTCGCGCGTAGCCGTCAGCATTGGCGTCAAATGTTTTGCAAGAACCAGTCGGGGACATAAGCCCCTTCTCCGTCATGCCTTGGGTCATGCCTGGATGCATGATGATGTTCGATCCTGCCACAATGGCGCTACAGCAGTCACCGTTATATAATGCCAGACAGGCTTGGTGAAGACTGGTCAACGAGGATGAGCACGCTGTTCGAACAGTAACGCTGGAGGAAATAAAACGTTTTAGCAAGAAAACGGCATTGTTATTTCATGCCAAGGTGGTGCGAACCTTGGACCCTTGAAGTCAAACTCATATGACACCCGATTTGCGGCGGCAAAGTCTGACGTGCCAATGATGCGAAAACTCCCCAATTGCTGCGTATTAAGGGCGTGCATGTCGTGCCAGTCTTCTCCAAAGTTGCCCACGTAGCAGCCGATGTTCTTTCCGCGCCAGTTAGTCTGGCCGGCCGACTCCATGCATTCCCAAACCACCTCGAGCAAGAGTCGTTGAGGGTCTAGAAGCTCAACTTCTGATCGACCCATGGAGAAGAAGGCAGCGTCGAATTTTGCAAGGTCGACATCCTTGAGATAGTAACCGCAATCAGAAGCCACATTTTGCTGCTTCAATTTCCAATCACTAAAGGCATCGATGTTGAATCGCTCTTTGGGAACACGACATCTGCCACTCCGCTTGTTGATTAAAAGTTGCCAAAACTCTTGGCCAGTTGAAATCCCCCCTGGGAGTCTCATCCCCATTCCCACAATCGCAATAGCTGGCCTTGGCGCTTGGTCCATGATGGCAACGAAGATTTTTGACGATGAAAGCTCAGAATTCAGATTGAAAGACCAAGTCGACAGGCAAGATGCACTTTGACGGTCTAGTTGAGCCAGATTTTGAACATATATCATGCATAGCAGTACCTACTCATGTAACACGACACAGAGATTAGGGCAAAACGATGCTCTATTCCACTATAACCAGTGATTCTATTATCGTTGTTTATGTGTATGTACTTCGTATATGGGCTCTGTAAATGTGATTCACCATACGTATGTGTTGGTGCATGTTGAAGAATATGTGCATTGACATTAGTACCGTCCCTACAAAGAATCTCGACGAATTAAAGATAAGCCTCGGACAGCTTTCCATGTACATCATCACACCGCCAAACGTATAAAAACATGTCGCCAGACCTGGTGAGCCCCGTACGTATGAAAGAAGTAAGAGTTGCCAAAACCGTGCAGTAGTTGTGGCGAGCGCTACAAGAATTCAATGCACCAGGTACATGTAGAGCCTGGTGAAGTGATGCATTCAGGGTCCTTCTTTTCCAGCTTTGCATTAGCCTGCAGCAAGTTCTCGGTTGGTACAATTCAGTACTCCGTAGGGGTCGTCGGATGACCTTTACTCGCAGAAATATGAAATCTGGGGGCAGCGCGCTTCTCTGTGTATAGGAACGTCTACGCCAAGACACCAGTAGCCTCTATCAAATATCTCCCTTGCCCCTTCGCTTTCATCTCCCGTCCACTTCCAAGTTTGCCGACAAACGTCTTGTTCCGCTTTATAGCATGCGGCCCATTCCTACAGTTCCGGAGCTACAACTTTATCCCAGCCATGTTCAGCTACATACTCATGGGTTTAAGGCAGTTCGCCACCCTACTATTTTACACGCGCCACCATTCGACCGCCATTCATTCAAGAATCCGCACCTTGTCAAACAGCATCTCATTCCTGAAACCACGGCCATGCTGAAGCAACTAACAGGGTGTCAAACCGTCATAAGTGAGACTCTTTTGCTGAGGGATGCCTCCTGGAACGACAATGACGGCCCCGCCGCCATGGAAGCTTACGAGCCAGAGACCCGCTTGCCGCAACTGATCGGGTTCAACTTGACATCTGGCGGTGTAGGCCCCGCATCAAAGGTGCACCTAGATTACTCACCAAAAGGCGCGCGAGCTCATATTCGGAACTTCCATCCTAACACCACAAACGCCGCTGCCGACATCATAGCTCATGAGGACTTGCTGTTAGCGGCTGGCAAGAGCTTGAAAGAGTCTTACAAGAATAGTAGTGGCCCACGATGGGCATTGTATTCCGTATGGAGGCCCTTGGAGACTGTAAAAAGGGATCCGTTGGCGGTGGCCGACTACAGAACGTTCCAGGAAGAGGACTACTTGGCGGTTGATGTGAAGACGCCTTGTCTAGGAAGGCCAGGGGCGAGTGAGAGCCATCTTGCTGAATGTTTTTTGGCAAGATACTCGGAAAGGCACAAATGGTACTGGATAGAAAACCAGACGGCCGATGAGATATTGGTCGTGCAGTTCTTTGATAGCGATGCTGAAGGAGAATCCTACTCCGCTAGGGGCGTGTTGCATTCAAATGCGGAGTTGGCTGGCACAGAGAATGAAAAAGATCGGGAGTCTTTAGAAATCCGGTGCCTATGTATCTGGTAGCTGCACCAGACAAATATAGTAGTCCTGGCTTGGTACATTTCTGCCATGTGTATGGGCCCAAGCAAACACGACTGAGGCAAAGACGTTGAGGAGGATGGGGATACTTTGCTATCTAAAGTAGAAAGCCCGCTATAGTCGGCCGAACTTAAACTCCAGTCGAGAACTCCATAAGATGACCACGGCTCACTTCCTCCAACAGATCCATAGACCAGACGCCACGACATCAGCGAGCCGCAAATTCTCGGGCAGATCAGGTAATCCCCTAACCGGCTATGTCAGGAGGGACATCATCGACAGCACCCCGATTTTGACCAGAATTAATACCGCCATATCTGTTACCACCATCACCTTTACTACCGAACCGAGGTTCGGTAAAGGTGGAAAGATCAAAACCAGCAGGGACATTATCAGGACCAAAACCATACCTGAAACAATCTCAACCTACTATATAAAGATAGAAAAGCGGCCGCAATGCTACATGAAGTTACTCACGCCCACCCCTACTTATAGGGGATTTACTAGAGTGCACGACCAAGTCCGACACTTCGGTTATATCTCGAAAAGGCAGTTATAATTTTCATGTAACGTGTTTATAAACTACGCTATAAACACGTATGAGCGGCTGACTCGTGCATTAGAGGAACCTTTTACTAGGTAGTTATAGGGGGGGAACTATCTATCCGACCAGTCTAGCTAATCGACTAAGTAAGTAAATATAGGGAGAGTATAGCGTAAGTACCTAAAGGGAAAGGCGCGAGACAAAGTATTATAGCTAGTATATATAGCTATTAGTAACTTTCTTTAATAATATTAAAGTGTTTAGTTTACAGGCGTTTAGGTTAGCGGTTAGGGTAGGGGTTAGGTTAGTATTAGGGTTATCTATTAAGATATTTTATTAAAACTAATAAGAAATAAAGGGATTAGGACTACTAGGTACTCTCTACTTTTAACGCTACGACTCCCCCCTACCTTTAGTCGGACGATTAGCCAGACCGGTCGGATAGATAATTAGTCAAGACCTATAATTCATGTAGCCAGCAAAGAGCTCTGCCTACATGTAGCCAGCAAACTTTAGGTCGGGGAGAGCAGCATTCTGGCTAACCACGGCCATGGTTTTATTCCAAGGCCTATTCAAATCCAGCAGATGGCGAGTCTGAAGGCGGTTTCTGCTTATAACGAATCTTTGAGGTTCCGTCCACGTGAAGATGACCTATTCCAACCCCCTTGCCCTCCTTGTCGAGAAATTAGATCGAAATAACCTCATACGGATCCGTAGGGTTCTTGTGCGACTTAAGCAGTTTCGTCCCTTGAATCACGGCCTGCTTGATGCGAGGATCCTGCAAATGGTTGAGAATTCGCGGCTACGACATGAGGGAGTCGTGCACACCTTTGCTTTCTGGTCTTTGCAATACTTGTCGACCAGGGACGAGTGGGTCGGATTCCCGAAGTCGCTGAGCTTGACCTTGCCCACATAAGAGATAAGACGACGGAAAGTTCGTAGACATGATGACCGTATACAGCTAAAGCTTTAGGCTGTTTTGGAGCTCGATCGAAGTGAGGATATCCATCCTCAGAAGGAGAGACGGTGCGCGGGCTTTTAATGGTTCAGTTTGTCCCACATGTATTGCTGATCTATAAGCTGCCGTTCATTCGCTACGCACCGAGGTGGCAATATACGGCGCCTCCTGAAACCCGGCGGCTAGAGCCATCCTGCAGTATCCGTAGATGCGAATCATGTGAACCACTTACATTGCATTACCGCGCAACCCACACCAACCCGGCTGTGCAAGCTTGCAGGATAGAGTTTTGTCTTCTTCTTCTACGACAGGAAGAGAGAAGTACTAGCGTATGTTTCATTTAAATCAATGTTTCCTTGATGAAACCTCCTCCCACCAGCCTTCCCCTTCCCTCCTTCATCTCCGACTTCGTTAGCATTCGTGCCCATTTCAGAACTTTGGTCCAAGATCAGAGCAGCCAAGGATCTTGTAAGAGTTCTTTCGCAGTCTTGCGATTCTCGGGCAACCATGACAGCATTGACCGCATGAATTGAATGAAACGCGCCTTCTCCTGTCCCGATAATCGCTGCTCGAGACTGTCAAGCCAGACGACGGGGACCAAGGCGTCCTCGTGGGCAATCCAATGTCCTGCAAATTCGTCCATTAATCCCGCGTTTGTGGCCACCTGGGCTGCTTGGGCGCTTAGGGATGCTTACCACTGGTATCGAAACATTGGTTCGCCGTCTCACTGCGCTGCACGAAGTCGCTCGGCGGCGGACCAATCAGGGCAACCATCAAAGCCAGGTGCTTGAACGGGTCATGGGCGCCTTTGGCATCAAATATGGCTCCAAACAAGTGTTTGCCCTCAAAAAGATCCCAAATCTGCTAGGCCGTCAGCCAGGATGCAAGAACAGGTGGCCAAGAGCAGTGCTCACCAAACACGCCAGGTTCCAGATGTCGACGGCGCTTCCCCACGCCATCTCAAAGATGACCTCGGGCGCCCTGTAAATATGCGGCTGGACAAAGGGCCCCGAGCAATGCGCCTTTCCGATCCTTGCCTCGCCGAAATCACAGAGGGCAGGGAGTCCATAGCTTTTGCCCCGGGACGGGCTGCGGAACCGACGGCTCTTGTATATCACCGTCGACTCGTCAACCGTCTTTCGCGGGCTTGGGTCCTGGGCTTCTGCTTTCACAAAATCGGCAAGCACGGTATCGTCGTCGAGGCTCAGCATGACATTATCCGTCTTGATATCTATTTCCAGTCAACCATGGCCAGGTGCGACTACCAAGCGAGGATGGGTACCGGTGTGGACGATGCCAGCTTCCAAGTGCAGAAAGTCCAGAGCGGATAGAAGCCGCCTCAGCGTCATCTTGAGCAAAGGCAGGTCAAAGGGCTTCCAGGTCGGGGCCATCATCTGGAGAAGAGACATGTACATTGGCTGAAGCACGAGGCATTGATGACTGCCAGCGAGCCCCCGAAGCTCGAAGGCATCGTGCATCTCTCGAATCAACGACTGGCCCGGGTGTGACGAGCTCACCTTGGCGAGACGCCGGTATATCTCGAGCTCGCGGTAGGTGGCAGTGGGCAGGTCTCGCAGCGAGGTGGAAACCTTTACAACTACGAACCTGTTGTGCCTGCCGAGTTGAGCATTATTGTCAGACGCTTGTTGCTCCAGTGACATTATGCTGCCTACAATTGAACTCGACCTACTGGAGGTCCCGACAGAGCCAGCTTGTCGAGTACGCGCCGTACCCAAGCTTCCCCTCGACCTGATATCTGGCCACGAACAGATCTCCAATGCGGACCGGGTAGTACTGCTTGGGCTTGTAGAATGGGAGCGTCTCCTCCTCGAGGGGCACCTCCAGAGGTATGGCCGGGTGTGCAACGTCTGCAAGGGCTGGCGGGTAAGGCAACACCCCGCGTTTGAACAGGCCCTTCAAACTTGTGCAGGCCCTGAAGCGTAACGGCATGCTCACTCATGCACCAGCAAGGGGTGCTCTGCGCTGGACGCGGAATTTTGATCCCTAGAAGGCTGAAAGTGAAACGTCCAGACCTGAGGCGCTTGACGGTACAAGTGCTAACTACCAAATAGATACATTTATACCTAAAGCACAGCCATGCAAATGCAGGATATATGTATGTACGAAGTAACTTATATAATATGTATTTACATAGGTATAGATGTATTTCGTATCCCTTTGGCTGTTATAAGACCGCACGTAGGGTCTAGGCAGGGGTATCTGTATAGACTAATAAGAGCGTCGCGCTATTTAGCGACAACGTGATAACTTTAGCACGTCCCTAAGCTGCAAGCAATAGCGTTTTTTATACTTCCTAAAGGTTAAGAAAGTACTATTTAAAAGAGACTTTATTATAGTAGCTGCTTAAGTAAGCTCTCGTTAAACATATTCGCGCTGACATATAATTAGGTTAATAATAGAAAGCGCTGTCGGGCTCACCGAATCGGGTGGTCCCCGTTTGAGGGGGGTCCCGTTCGAGGCAACTCTACATGCATTAGTGAGTCGGCCAGGCTCCACCCCGGATCCTTTAAACCGACGGCAGATGATGTATCGTCCGCTATGGGGCCAGGAGTGAGATAACAGTCGCAACTTCCCAGCCCTTGAATGGTGTGAGTCGTAATGCTACCCTGGTAGATCCCACATCGCGCGGCTTAGTAGTGCTTATCCATACACTGCCCTCACGCCGGGATGGAAGCGTTCTGCTCGGGGCGGACGGCCTCGGTGGTAGTGAACGGTCACACATCGGAGCAACGAGTCCTGCCCAGGCAGATATGCCGCAATGATCGCCATTGTCGCCAATCGCTCGCCAATCGCATTCCCGTTCCTCAACGCAGACCTGTTGCAGAGACGGGTCAATGCAGAAGGTGGAGCGATCGCGTTTGTGAACCGAGAGGTAATCTCTCGAAAGGAGCCGAGAGCGCATACAAAAGAGGAGCAGGGGCACTTGCCGGTTTAGTTCTTGGATAATTTGCTGCTGTCCGTTGATGGCCTCGCTCTGCTCGGTCACTGCTCGCTTTAGCCTCTTCATATCATTCCGGGATTCTTTCATTGACTCTAGGGCCAGCTGGAGCATCGCCTTGCCTTCGTTGATGACGCGGCTCGATCTTTTCGTGGGCGTCGGAGGGGGCGCGCCTGCTCCGCCACGACCACGGCCTCCGCCGGCTCTTCCATGATGAAGCTCCTTAAATGCTAAGTTGTTCCTCGGTAGCGTCAAAGTGTTCGATTCCGAATTCTACTGAGTGTAACGGTTTCGACATCTGCTGAGGACTTGTTCCAATGAAATGAAGGGGAGGGTCTCTCCAGAAGCCGTCTTCGAAAGGAGGAATGGATCCTCGACCCGTTCGGTGGTGTGCAGCAGCAGCAAGGATTGGAGGTGGCCTAGAGACAAAACGCACCTAGGCACCAACGTATCAGCCGCCGTTACCCCCCCAAAAAAATCACCGTACATAATGGGGGCACGGCTCCGTGCCCTTTTCGAGACGGAGGTCCTTGCCTGTATTGGCTCTCCCCTTGGCTAAGTATATACTGACTAAGCAGGCTATAAACCCTGATGCGGGGTATAAAAAATCTTTTCTGCCTGATCGCCACGCCCGCTTCTGTCTACTGGCTTCTCGACGGAAAGGAATCTACGTCGAGCACCCGAATAAAGTCATTGATCCTCCTGTGCTTTTGTGATCACCATTCTTATCCAGTCGCGGGCAACAAGCCTCGGGAATCGTTTTTCAGCACCATTTCCACGGCCGGCGACTGACGTGTGTCAAAATTTTAGAATGTCGACCGCAGCTGTGGCCGTCTTCAGACTCGTCTTCAACGTTCCCGAGTCGCATCTCGCAGCCTGTAAGAGCGCCGTTTTTGCAGTTGGTGCTGGTCGATATCCTAAGGGTAACTATACTGAATGTTGTTGGACCACTATTGGTACCGGTCAATTTCGGCCAGGGGACGGAACAAATCCATACATTGGATCAGTGGGTGAGCTCGAACAGATACGAGAGGTCCGAGTCGAGGCGCCGTGTGTCGGTGAAGACGTTGCTAGGAAGGCAGTTGAGGCACTAAAGGGGTAAGTTTTTTTTTTGGCTTTTGCTGCTTTTCGTTAGTCCTTAATCCTCCATGTAGGGCTATGTGTCTATTAAGTAGATTAAGAAGGTTGACAGGTTTGTTAGTGCTCATCCATATGAAAAGCCCTCGTACCAGGTATATAAGATGGAAGATTTTTGAATAGAAATGCACATTGGTAGAAACGTCGAACTATGCACTCTGTCACAATTAGCAAGCTATGGGCCGGCAACGCAGACTGTCGTCTCTCCGCTGATGTTTTGTGTGCTGCCTTAAAGAGTGGGCGGGGTATTATCGAGGTGTTAAGGAGAGTGGGCATAAGAGGCCACAGTCATGCCTAATAGACCTAATAGTTATGCATAAGGAAGCCTGCCTAACTAATATAACTCCCCTAGCCTAAGGACATTATATAGGCCTAACTTAGGTATAGGAATATCTTAATGCCCTCTTTTAGCTAGCTATATATAGTTACTATACCTATATAAGCCCCTCCTTTATCCTAATAGATAGACTAAGATATATATTACTAAATTTACCTTTCTATGCCCCTATTTCTTCCACTATGCTCTCAAGCCCCTGCTTGAGACGAGGTAACTTGGATTGTTCCTGCGCAGCGTCCAGATAACGTTCGTACTGCCGCATCGGACGTAGATAAGCGAGCCTGCTGTGGACAGGCTCTTCACTGCAGTGAGGTTATTCGAACTGGTTCAATTGGTTATATCTTGTGTAACTAGGGAAACGTGTCCCATACAAACTGTGTGCAAAGACCTTCCTCCCTGTGTCTCACCTCTTACTCGCACGTGACTAGCGCGGTCGATTAGTTATACGTGCGCGATCGGTGCCTAGTGCACAGGTGGATCCAACACTGGAACCTCTTTCTAAATCGATGATCGCGCACTAATCAATCCACCAAAAACACACCAAACACAGCGAATTAAGATGAGATAGGAAAAACACGAACAAGAACACCAACAAACTCCTACCACGATGCATCACTATGTTGGATAGTGTGCTCTGACTGTAGCTCTCCTCCCCACACTGGGTGTGTTCTGCCACACGCCATCATGGGCCGCATTTCGAGCGCCGGATGCGCTAGCTGATTCCATCGGTCCCACGTTGGAATGGACACGAGGATCTCCTCGTTAATGTGAATGGAATAAAGAACGACGGTAAAGCAGAAGAGGGAACGAAAAAACCGATTAAATCTCGTCGAGAATTGTTGTGTTATTGCGATGAACGAATCCTTCCACCCTCACGTTTAGCTGATTGTCGCTAATAAACTGCGTGAGGGCGCTGTTTGGTGATGCCTTCGTCATAGCATCGGCAGGGTTATCTGCGCCGTTGACCCAACGGATTTCCGCAATATCCCTTGATTCATATGCCTGCCTCAGCGCCATGATATCTATCATGAGTCGCTTCTCTGTTGTGGTGCCAAGTTTGACGAGGCACTCATAGAGGCTATATGAATCTGTGCAAATGACGAGCAGGATTTGCTTCAGATCAAGGCGTTGTGCGATCGTATTGACCGTTTGCTTGATCACAAATGCGAGATCGAAGCCCGATGTCAATCCATAGATCTCTGATGCAAGAACGCTTCGAGTAACGCGCTTGCATTTAGTTGAGCTCAATGAAGAATGTTTCCGCGGATGGAAAATGAATCGGTTGATTGCGCGGTCTCATTGGCGATGATAATCACAAAGCCGATTTGAGAGCTTAAATCCTTATTGTTGGCGAATGATCCATCGGTGAACACAAAGATCTTCGCGCTCTCGAGATCGATGGGTATGTAACATAGGCCACGGTCGGGATTGTTGATCTGCCATTCAATCCGCTTGTTCAAAGCCTTGAAGTCGGTATTAACGGGCTCTTGGGCTTGCCGCAACGGAACAATCGTATGTTGCTTCGGGTTGGCAAATCGAAGCGATATATGCCCCGGGCGCGTTGAGCAGCATAATCCTGATGCCTACTTGATGCCTGAAGATTGATCTCCTCGAGGTTTTGGGCTTGGCCCTTCTGCCTGACGATGACACAGCCATTTTGTATGGTCAGGCGGCTGCCGTTAAAGTCGCAGATGGAACCTTCTTGGAGAATCTCTTTTGGCTTGGCCTTAAAGCAGAGTTCTTTCTCCTCGATCTTGAGAAATGCATCTGTGCCAACAATGAATGTGTCATCCGTTTGCAAGGCCGCGATGCCAAACAGGTCCTTGTCGGCGATGTTGTTTGCCGTGATCAGAAGGCACGGGTCAAACGAAGAGGTTTCCATATTAAGCTTGCGGCAGTGATGGTCGTGATATGTGTTGAACCAGTGGGCTCCTGCCTCTGCGATGCCATATAGCGGCTTCACGATTCGCAGGATTGTTCCTCTGGATATCTTCTTTTGAGTTCTTGAGGAAGGGCTGCAAGGATGACACGGGCCAGCTTGGTCTGGGATTGTGTGTATGCCATCGTGATGTCTCTGATCATGATGAACATATCCCGTGTGCAGAGAAACGGTGCTAAGGCCAAGGCCACGCGTTGTGCGGGCCGGCTGATGGTAGGGGCTTGTGTGAGGATCCCACGTTTCCCATCATCATTGTATCCTTGCACAACGAGGCGTGATTTCTCGTATGGCGTTGCAGTATTTCTTCCCTTAACCTCTCTGACCATTCGTGATTTGAAGACACGATATCCACCATGTTTATTCGCATCGAATTCTTCGGGTACAATGACCCCAGCGGCGAGGAGGTTCGTGAGCTCGAGTGTGTCGGAAGCTTCAAATGGGAAACCGGTGCTTGTGATCTTTCCTTCAGCTCGTAGCCGCTTGGCTAGGCCGAGATGTTCCATTTCTTTTCGAACAAGAAACGCATTAGCTTCATGATGAACGATAAATTGAACGGGTGAGCAAACAATAGTGGATTC